ATATTATACCTTATATTTACTGCTGACCTACCGACAGAAACACACATAACTACACACAAACACAACGTGTTAGCAAACAAATTTTTGCTAACACAAACGTGTTAGCAAAAAGTTTAGTGAATAAACCGCGTACTGTTCGTAGGCTAAAACGAAAAGTTCCGTTAGAGTTAAGTGAACAATAGGTTCTAAATTAATGTGTACAAGTCTATGTCAGAAATAGTCAGTGTTGTAGGCTAAGTTTTAAAAAAAAAGGGGGTGCATCACTGGATGCCTCCCTACATGTCATTCCAAATTATTGTCAGTCCTATTACTTATTGTCTATTATCTACCTAAATATTTGGGTTTAGATTGTACAGATAGATATGTAATAAATGTGGGGTTAAAAAAAAAAAAATTATCCACACATTATTTTATTCTTGATTTATTATATTTATATTATACATTGCACAATATTATTACATATTGCACATATGGCCAATACTTATTCTACCACATGGTGATTTGTTCCTTGCTATTCTAACAATGCTATTCTTTGTTCTTTCACAAATGTCGATATTCAAAATATCGATATTCTTGAAAGAGCAAAGATTGCTGATGTCGCAAAACATATAGCAAGGCATAAGTGGTAACAGGTCAAACATTTTGCCCAAGATTCTCCCGAAAAATAACCACAGAGATTAACAAACTGGAGACCAAGAGAGAACAGGCGATGAGTAAGAAGACCACAGAAGAGGTGAGCTTATGATATCAAACAAGTTGTGGGCAAGCAGTGGATGAGAATTGCCAAGAGTAGAAATCAATGGAAGCAAATGGAAGAACCCTATGTCCAGCAGTGGACGAATACAGTTTGAAGAAGAAGAAGATTCTAACAATTCTTGTGTCTGTCATTCTACTGATGTGATTGTTCTATTCTTTTTTTCTCTTTAGTGTCCATTTGTTTATACTCTGTACATTTTGTTCTGATTTTGTCACACCTTATTTGGTGTCTAGAATGTTACCTGTAATTCTCTGAGAATTCTCATTTCTAATATTTCCAGCATTCCATATGTTTTGACTGGGTTAACTGTTTCTGATACATATATCATTATTGGTCTTATAGATTCATAGATTCTTGATTTCATCTCACAGTTATGACATGTGTCATCTACACCATATAGTAAGGCATCCTGCTAATATGTTTGCTCTTTTTGTACTTTATCCCTTACTTCTTTTTCAATGTCTCCATAACACAACAGGGCAATGCCAAGGTAGCTTATGTGCATTAAGTACTTGTTCAATGCTAACTCCATTGACTTCCATTTTACATCTCATTGGATCTTTACTGATTACTATTGCTCTAGTTTTCTGTTTGAGTTTTTTCCTTTTCTGTTTAGTTTTTCAAGTGTTTTTATACTTCATGCTTGCTTATGTGAACTTCTTCGTTTATAGTAATTTCTGATTCCAACTTCACTATTTGTTGTTCCTTTGTAAATAATCTCACAAAAAATTACAGTACCTATGTTAAATAGTTCATTGAGGACAATTAAAATAGATTATTTAGTATATATAACATTTCAAACTGCATGTTTTAATATTACATTTATTAAAAACTTAATTGATTTATCTAATTGACTGTAAAGTTAATGAGTGACGCAATTAAGTATAACAAAAATTAAACATTAATCTCTCAGGTAATTGCATCCAAATAATAGGAAATGATTGCACATGAGGATTGCACAGGAAATGATTGAAATGAACAGAATTGCACAAATGAAATTTGTGCAATTCTGTTTAATATATTTTCCATCTTTTAGTTACATACTTATTACACCAATACAAAATTATCTATATTAAAAATATCAACAAAGTTTGAGACTTTCAAAATTGATTTGGACTTTTTATGGCTACTATAAAATAAATATATTACCTACAGAAACAGTTAGTAATACTTTGTTCATCAAAAACAATAATCTTTGCACTATTATCTATTTTAACCTTAGAAATAGTTCTACTCAACCACATAATGAATTGTCTACTGTATCAATCACATCATTTAATGGTTCTAATTCTGACACAACTAACAGGATCAATGTTAATTAAGGTTTGAAACCTGTAAGAGCTAATAAAAGTCAACCTTTATTAGATTTTTATCATTTAAAACCTAATAAATTCAGTCCCTCTTAATTAAGTTAGTGTGGTTAAATGTGTTGGGAAATTATATTCTCTAGGACAGATCAGAGTCTAAATTAACTAAAAAGGTTATTAAGTAATTAAAAAATATCCAGTCCTCAGAATTAATTAATTAATTGGGTATATGTTATTATCTAGATCTGTAATTTGAGAATTTTTATTAAGTTTAATAAATACACACATTAGCAATATCTGGAAAAATTTTTGTAAGAATTTTGATATGCATACTTATTTATTTATAAAATTATAGCTTTTTAAACATTATATTTTTTTGAATATTTAATATTATTTAAGTAATTACAAAAGAATAAAATAAAACAATATCTGTCAAACAGTTTTTTCTTTTCCAAGATCATACTAAAACATTACTTTAAACACTAAAAAAGTATTAAATATAATGGGTATTATATAGGAAAGGGATTTTGACAATAGCTATGACCTTGAAAATAACAGGTAAACTTGTGTATTGTGTACTGAATCAGCATGACTAATAGCTCTTGTCAAAATCCATTACTTCTAACTTTGCTGTTTGATAAAGCTGTAATTCCTCTTGCATATTATGTGAAATTTCACTTTTTTCTAGTCTGTCATATCTCATTCACTCAGCAGATTTATATGAATGTGGATTAAAAAATCATACTTAGTTTAGATAAGGTACTTAATTGGGTTAGGATTTAAGAATTGAACTACCAAAACCAATAATGAACATTATGGATTAAACCTAGTGTTATGAAGATATGACTAGCGTATTGACAAAAATATTTGATCAATTTTTTATTATTTGTATAAGAATTATATTTGTATATGAACCTCAAAGGACATACCAAAAAGGAATAAGGTGAAAAAATTTACATCAAATTTAAAAAAATAATAGGATAAAGACACCATTTTCTAAAAAAAATGCCATGAATAAGTGCACAGAAAGCTCTTCTCAAAAGTATGCAGCCATCAAAGCACAGAAATCACATATAATTAGTTCTAAAATATTATGCAAAAGCTTTTGAACTGAAGTAGATCAATATATGCACAGATAGTCAAGAGGCCATTAGGGATTGTATAAGCCTCCTCCTAGAAGTAATGAACTCTAGGCTAGTAAGAAAATGCTAAAAAGAATTTGACAGACTAGAAGAACATAGCAGAGCTGATGAACTTATTAGAATATGATCAGCTACAAAACTACATCGGTCCAGAGCTAGTCATAGGAGTGCCAAAAATTGACCAGGAAAAAAAATAGATCCAAACACAACATAACTTTCAGTAAGAAACTACTCAGTCAAGATTTTGGCAAAAGGTACAGTATACATGTACAGTATATATGTGCTAATGGGGCTGAAGTACTGTGGAAATCAAGCAGGAATCACCTCAGAGTCCTAACAGGCTTACTTACTGTATATGCATCAGTTGCACCAGAGACACCTTCATACAATGGGGCTGTTTCATGAAGACCTAAGCTACCAACTATATAACAAAGAACCTGAAAATCAACATCTTGCATGACTACTAGGCATTAGATATCGGGCACAAACAATTTTGGAGAGTACCAAGTGACTTTAAAAAGATAGGTAGGTACCTATCCACTAGACCTGTATAACTTGGTACAGGGTTTCAGAATTCTGGAATGGGTATCATGGATGAATATAATGAAGAATATAATTAAGTAAGATAAACAAAAAGCTAATTAGCTGCAGTACAACCATTCATAACAGATAACTTCTAAAAAAAAGAAGAATTTAGTTATCCTTCCACTGACACAAGGAACGGTAATGATTCCAGGATGTATCAGAATAAAGAGAAATGAGCTGACCACAAATTAGCCAAAAATAGGTGAAAAACAAATAGATCTTGAACCCTTTTGGGGAATTAGTAACAGTTTAATGCTGGAAAAAAATTGAAAGATGAGTATATCTCATAGGAGTGAAAATTGGAAAGAATTATAAGAAATAATATATTCAAAAATACTTCTAGTGGATTGTAACCATAGGAAATATCAAGATTGCATTAATTTAAATAAAAAAACTACATATTTCAACAGGAATATGTATAGGCCATTGACTATACATACCACATGAAAATATTAACAAGTGGCAGATACTGTAAGATTGAGGATGAAACTTTTACACATATACTCTCAAAACTGCTGTGCTTTAGGAACTGCGGAGCACATAAGACAGAAAAATATATTTAAAAATTAGTCTTTTATGAAAAAATTGCTCTAAATAGCATTAACAGTTTATGTTAAGGAGGAGTATCCTATAATTTATAACAATAACTTCAAAATTTAAACAAAGCAAATGGTAATCCAGTTTATAGTACAAAGTCTCAATCCAAGATTATTGCTGATAAATACAACAAAACAATAGAACAAAAGAAAAAATACCAAAAACAAAAATTAAGGAGATTTGTATAGAATAAAAAAAATTGGGACTAAAAAAGATACCACAACAATAATTAAGTAATATTTGTCAGATATAAGAGAACATAGGACAAATATACATGTAGTACTTAAATAAAGATATTCTAAAACAGCAGAAATATATGATTAGGAGGGCCAAAGAAAAAAGATTGGAGAGAAAAATTATCATGGAGAGATGAGAGATATAGTGAAAGAAATATAGGGAAGTTACTGAGAAGATAGAAATCACTGGATAAATAGAAGAACTGCTGAGTGTAGAATCTTTCGTAGTAGCTATAAACTTTACTACCTAGATCTATAATTAAAGTGTTGCGTTTAGTTTAAAATATTTTATAAATTGAATATTGGGAAATATTCAGTCTTAATAAAATACATGTGTTTTTGAAAGAAGAAACAAAGGGTAGATAAAATCACATACCCTATAAACCAATCCACGGTGTCGCGGAGGTACTCTGGTAGTCGCTCCAGTTTGTTGTAGTTTTTAAATTTTTACAAATAAGAAATTGCTGTCTACAAATTATGAAATGTCTCTCAGCTGATGTCCAAAACTTCAAAATCGCCAAGCACAGAATTGATGTATATTGCACAACAAATTTAAAAATGACTTCTAAAAACACTTAGAATTACTATAAATACACTATCACACTTGAATTCAAGTTCTAATTCTTCATTATTTAGATATTTATTCCTAATTTAACAAACTGAAATCACGATTTTGCAAGTAAACTCCATATTTATTAATAATAGCACTGTTGTCATCGCTAACCTTTGACTTCTGTGTTATTGTTGTGATTTATTTAATGTATTTAATTAAAGTCAAAATATACAAAGTAATATACTATTTTAAGATATTTATACAATCAATATTTAATTTTTAGGTTGAATAAATCATTGATACCAAGATTAATTACATGAACATATATTTATTTGGCAACACCGCCATACTGTCAATTTTATTTTTGTCAAGTACAGAAATCCACATTCTGTGTTCATAACTGGTTCATAACAATGTCACAGAATAATTAATCAATTTTTATTTGTTCTGTGAATTGTGAATATATGAATCCAAATTTCACAGTTTCTTTCGTTTGGCAAAAAATCAGTTTGATTTTGTATTATGTGCTATTAAGGAAGATATAACGAAATCTCCTTCAAAAATGATAAAAAGAGTTATGACACCGGAAGAAAAAGTTGCTGTTACATAGTTGCTAGAAAATGTTTCTTCTGTCACAGAATAATAAACATACAGAATACCCACTCTCCACGGAAAATTAAGTACGCGCATCTCCTCCGCGCAGACGTTCCGCCATGTTTTAGGAGGATTTTAAAGAAATTATGTGGTGTGCATGGAAAAATTAACCAGGTTTATTTGACTTACGGCAATCATAGACATACTATACAATTATATTAACATTGTTAAATATAATAACATAAATATAATATAATTAAACATAAATATAAACAATTACATAACCACACAAATCATATGTCTGTGTCCTCCTCAAACATGGCGCGCGTGCTGAAAAACTTCAAAGGCGGCATCTGAGAGTGGCCCTTCTGATTGTTTATTATTCTGTGCTTCTGTGCAATTGTGAAAACAATAGCATTGTTTATGTTAAACATTAATATTAAATATTATTTTTAAAATATTAATTGATGTACGTATTTCATTTCAGATTCTTAGCAACAGGAGAATCTTTCCATTCTTTAATATTTGCATTTAGAATATCCCACAATTATATAAGTGTGATTATATCTAATAAGTGCTATCAGCAATTTGTAAGAGATTAAATAATGAACTAATGCCTGCGCCAACAATAAGCCAATTAGCGATGTATTAAAAAAATAACATATACATATAAATTCTATATAATCTAAAAATATGTAGCAAATAAATCACAGGACATGAACTAAAATAAATATAAACGCCTGGGGTTACCCAACACAACTGTCAATTCTATGAATATTTGACATACGTACGTCAAAGGTCAAAATGTCAAAATAATATTTGTACAACTACAAACGAACATAGTTAATAAACACAGTTATTAAAATTAAATCCACATTTCTCTCTCAAATTTTATGAATTTTACAAATATTTTCTATTAGGAAATAAGGATTTATTAACATATAAAAATGTATTATTAATGTCAAATGGGTAAAGCTCAATTCAACATGTTATTATTCCTTTTAATAATAAAACTTTTTTAGAGGGCACACAAGAAATTTTAGATTTAGCAAATAAGAAATTGAAGAAGTTAAATAAGCCTACTGCTACAGAGTCACAAGTCACAACCCTTATTCTAGATGATAATGAATTACAACGGTTAGATAATATAGATTCATTTACTAAATTACAGAAGGTATAATTAGTGTAATAGCTCCTCTTTACAATAGCCCACTATATTGGTCATTAGGATAGCTCCTTTATCAGTAGTGGCACTCGATGTTTGGTCAAAGATGGAAAATCAATTTATTACTTTGTTCTCTCAGTTCTTGTTCATAGATCCCAAAAGGTCGCTGTTTTGGTAATTTTTTTGGTGGTAATAGAAAGCCATCCATGATTTCATTGATGATGGGCCATTGTTTAGAGGCAATAAAAGTAAATAATAGTATAATAGACTAAGTTTATTTTAGCTTTCTGCTACCCGTAATCAACTATTGCGAATGTATGGTGTTTGTCGCCTTCATTTTCTTCATACTCTAAACTTATCTTATAATGGTATACTTACTATTGAGGGGCTAAAGGAGCTTACAAGCTTAACAAGGTTGTGTTTAGCTGGGAACAGTATTAAGGTGGGAGTAATAATTACATTAATATATAAAAAAGTAACATTGAAGTAAGACTTTTACAAAAACAGATGATTATTATTTTAAACTCAAAACACTATAACTTATATATAACTTATAAAAACATATACTCTATTCACTGAAATGTATGCCAATTGACTAGTAAATTTTTAATTTGATCACATTTTGAGACATTGAGTGAAAGTTACTGTCAGGCCAAGCATGCATGCTCATAGTCAATATTAATTGTAACTTTTGAGTAAAAGCATATTCCGATGCACTTTATTAGCAAAATAAAACTGAATTGAATAATAAAACAAAGCTGTAAATGTTTATTTTTTAAATTTTACAGATTAGTGTATACACATCCCATTTTTTATTTATTCATTCTTTCTGCAAATCCTTATTACTTTGTGGACTATTGGCTAGTTATATATACTTCATCTAATTTAGATAACGACTTACGTCATTATCTACGTCAGAGATCGAAGTTGACATAGTTGCCAAAGTATAAAAAAATCCTGACTCCATTTTAAATCAAATAGGTCACATAATTATTGCAAAAGTATTACCATCTCTTTACAACGACTATTTAAATTCTTACGTGACATTTTTGAAATAAAACACACTAATTTTGTTCTAAAAAGAACAGATTTTATTAAATAGGTAAAAATATAAAACAAGAGGTATTCACTTTAAAATTCAAAATAATAAAGTACAAAAAGTGTCAACACCGCAACTGTCAAATAAGTGTTACCAATTTATGCCAAAATTTTACCTTCGTTCGATTACAGTTACAGTGTGTTCCGAACAAATGTTCTTGATAAAAACTCTTTATAATGGATTTATACAAATTAAATGAAACATATTATTGTGTATTTCTTTAAGTTAACATTAATAGAAATTTTTAAATATTATTTCTACGCGTATATAATAAAATATGTCTAGTGGCTGTAATGCCAATGTACTCGGTAAAGTGATTCTAAAAAGAACACACCTAAACCCTAAATATTTCGTGTTGGTATCATATGACGTCACAGGCTATGACGCCGATGAAGTGCATCGTTATATAAATTAGATGAAGTGTATTTTAGTATGCTTTGTTTTCACTCTGTTTTACTGTTATTATTAATATTACATGATATCATGTGATAAAGTTTAATTTATTTCATTCTTTAAGCGTCTTGCAAGGCAACAATAAACTAATCTAGTTGCATTTAAGAAAAATACTTATAATTTCTTTTGACAAATCTAAGTAATTTAGAAGCCCTTATGGATAATAAGTTGATATGCTTCACTAAGGAAAGCCTTTCATCTAAAGTGACTCCTAAGTCCTTAATGGTAGAGACATACTTAAAATGTTGCTCATCAATGAAATAAGTTGTACCAATCCTGTTCACCTTTTGGGTAAAACTGATAAAACAACACTTATTAACATTTAATTAAAGACCAGTCCTAATACTCCAATGCAATTGTATAAATGATCAAGATCAGCTTGTAAAGACAAATGATCTTTAAAATAGTTCACAATATCATTAAAAAATATGTTAAAAAAATAGGTCATGTGTGTCCTCCCTGTGGAACACCTAAAGTGACCGTTATTGACTCTGAAATATTACCAGCAACCTTAACTCTTTGACTACAACCAGACAACGAATTTTTGATCCATTCAACAAACTGAACATGAAATCCCATAAGAACAATTTGATGATCAATACAATTAAATGTTTTACTGAAATTGGTATATATTGCATCCATGTGTTTTCGTCCCTCAATTTGCTTCATAAGCTTAGACTAATAAATTAGTAGCTGTAGATTTTTTGCAAAAAAACCATGCTGAGACTCTGAAATAAGTCCACTGCACAACCAAGGTGGCTGTTTAGCTATCAAACTATTGAAGAATTTAGATATTGCAGACTGAATGCATCTACTTCAACAATTTTCAATGTTTTCTTTCTGACAACATTTGAATATTGGTACAACATCACTCCTTCCAAACATCAGGAAATAAAGATGACTGTAATGAGTTATTAAAAAGTAAGTAACGGCATAATAATAGTGCAAATATATTTTTTTTAAAAGAAAATGGGGAACACCATCAGGTTAAGAGGTAATCTTATTTGGAAGAGAACTGATGCAATCAACAATATCAATGAGAGTGATTTCAGAGATATTATAATTTGCTGCAACATTTTTATTGATGGGGATATTGGGAACCTGAATGTTTGCTGAAGTTTGAAGAAAGTCATTCAATAAATTAGCAATTTCTTGCCCATTAGAAGCAGACTATATTATATAGAGCCTAAGATATAGTATAACTAAACAAAAAGAATTAGTTATCGAAAAAATAGTGAAACTTCTAAAAAATATCCACAAAGAAAAATTTACACACTTGTGAAGATTTACACATTCTTTTAAAAAAATTTTGTTTTTTTTTTTGTTACTTGATGAAAAATTCTTTTAATAATTTTATCTGACTCATTCATATTGACAATTCAGACATATATTATACATTTTATTTACGAATACACTTTTTAGACTTATTTGTAGTACCACAAATTTCCTTATAGTAAAATGTCAAAATTTTTATTGAATATACAACCATTTGCAAATAAAAATTACCATTTTATAAAAAATACACATTTTTTAAATAAATTATCGAATATTGAATTTAATTTAAATATATTTAGTAAGTTTTGACATAAGAGTTTATTTACAAATGTACCATTAGATAACTTAAATATAATCAAAACAAAATTAGAGAATGATGATACATTGGCAACTAGAACAAGACTAAATATATCAGCCATAATGGAGTTATTGACATTATGTACTAATAATTTCAATAATATTTTCAACTAAATAACGAATTCTATAAATAAAATTTTGTTCTAACAATGGGCTCTAGTTTATATCCATTAGTAGCAGATATATTTATGGAACATTTTAAACAAATATTATAAAATTTAAAAACCCACAGTATGTTGTAGATATATATATTATATATATAATATATATATATATATATATATATATATATATATATGATGTATTCTCATTATGAGCTCATGGATCAGAGATGTTGGACACATTCGTGAATGATATAAACGAAAAATAAGAGACAATAACATTTATCATGGAAAATTAATATAATAACACACTACCCCTCCTGAATGTTTTATTCTGTAAGAACGATACTGGATATGAGACTCAGGGGTATAAAAAACCAACACTCACCAACAGATATCTAAATTGCAAATTAAATCACATCAACATTAAAAAGGAAATCATTAAATTATTATATGATAGAGCCAAAATTACTTGTTCCAACGAAAATTCATCCTTAGAGGATAAACATTGGTTAACATCTGTTTTATTAAAAAATTATTATCCTTTATCATTTAAAAATAAGGAATTTTAATAACAAGATCCTACAGCATACACAAGGAATAATATGAGGAAAATAACAATCATCTTTAGCTCTACAACCCTGGGTGGGTCTTGGCCTGTTCAAGAATTAGTCTCCATTCCCCCTATCTTTCGCCCTGGCTTTCCAATTTCTGACCCTAGATTCCTCAAGTCATCTTCGACTTGAGTTTTAAATCTAGATCTTGGCCTGCCTCTCTTCCTGGTTCCTACTGGCTCTTGATATAATATCTGTCTTTGGGGTCTCCAGTGTCCATTCTTTCAAGGTGTCCTAGCCACCTTAGTCTATTAATTTTAATAGACCGGACGATGTTGCATTTTTCATAGCATTGATACAACTCAAAATTGTAGCGCCTGCGCCATATCCCGCTTTCTTGTACTCCTCCGTATATGTGCCTAAGTATTCTTCTTTCAAAGCGGCCTAACAGTTCTTCGTCGCTTTTTACCATAGTCCATGTCTCTGACGCGTATGTCAGGACAGGTTTAATAAGAGTTTCATATATTAGTATCTTGGTTTTTCTGCTAATTATGTGTGATGTTAAGAACTGCTTTAGTCCAAAGTAAGCTCTGTTCGCCAGGTATATTCTTCTCTTAATTTCTACGCTTACTAGGTTGCTGTTATTTAGTTGTGTTCCAAGATATATAAACTCCGAGACCCCTTCGAATGTGTGTGCTTCTGTCACCAGATCTTGTGGTGCCGCTATTTGTGTGCTGTTCGTGACCTTCATGTATTTTGTTTTGGATACGTTGACCTGCAGTCCCATTGTCTTCGCGGCTTTTTCTAATGTTTCAAAAGCCTGTATCAGGTCTCTTTTTGTCCGTGTTACTATGTCAATGTCATCTGCGTAGGCCAATATCTGTACACTTCTATTGATGATCGTACCTCTGGTTGTTATGCCCGATTTCTCTATGGCTCTTTCTAGCGCGATGTTAAACAATAGGCACGATAGACTGTCTCCCTGGCGTAATCCAGTATGTTTTGAAAAGACCTTGACACTCTGTTTTGTACCTTGACTTTGCACTCAACTTTCGAAAGAGTTGCCTTTACCAATGTTATTAGATGCGACGGAATATCTAGTTCTGCCATGGCATTATAAAGTGCGCTTCTGTCTACACTGTCATAAGCGCTTTTAAAATCTATGAAGAGGTGGTGGGTATCAATTCCATATTCATATGTCTTTTCTAAGGTTTGTCTGAGAAGGAAAATCTGATCAATTGTTGACCTTTCTTTTCGGAATCCACATTGGTATTTGCCTATTTTTTCCTCAGTATATACTAGTAAACGATCATAAAGTATATAAGCTAGTACTTTTAAGCCATATTTAAGAGGGTAACTAAGTTGCCTTGGCAACTTCTTCTGTTGGTATATTATTTTTCTCCCTCTCATCGTCTACGTCTTCATTCTGGTCATATGTCAGTCACTTCTCGGTTGCCTGTATTTAATTTCTCAGCAAAATTCTCCGCCCATCTCTCCACTATTTGATCCTGCTCATTGATAATTTCGGCTTCCTTACTTTTTATTATGGTTATTCTAGGTTTAAATTCTTTTCTGTTGTGTTTCACATTTTTATAAAATTTTCCTTCTTCGCTTTGTGAATTGAGCCTTTCTAGTTCCTGTAGCTGGTTTTCTGAATGGAAACTAACAATACCATTCATAACAAAGATTGTATTGTAACAATAAAACACTGAAAATTTGTTTTCAAACTTCCACAAAATATATTTTAAATCTTATCACTACAGCTGTTTCGGCTGATTGCCTTTCTCAAGTGACTTGAGAAGACTTGAGAAAGGCAATCAGCCGAAACAGCTGTAGTGATAAGATTTAAAATAAATTTTGTGGAAGTTTGAAAACAAAGTTTTCAGTGTTTTATTGTTACATAAAATGAATTTCCATCAAGTAACGGTCGAATCCATCAAATATTGTATTTATAAAATGCTTTGTGAATGTGATCATTTTTATTTAGGTGTGACATCAAGACCATTAAATGTTAGAATAAGTGAACATCAATCTTATATTAAAAATAGAGAATTTGATAGATATCAAATACACACTCATGTGAAAATAGGGTTCAATGGAACGATTTGAGTATAGTCCTAAAACAAACAGATAAAAAGAGAAAAATCAAAGAAGCGGCTTTAATTACGTTAAATGACCCAATTGTGTCGCAAATTCCTTGACAAAATGCAGTAGGATCTGGTTACCCAAGACGAAGTAAATAAAAGGAAAATACCACTATTAGTAAGTCAGTAACATATCGAGGATACATCATTTATGTTTTTAAATAATATACATATAAAATAAAGTTTGGTGTTTATTGAGAGTAAACTAAATGGAAGACCAAATACTTACCATGTGGAGATAGCATTATGAGGTTTTTTACTGTTTTTTTTTCCCTCATGATTTACCTTGGAATCACTAACAGGAGAAATGAACTATCTTACAATAAAGTCGTCTCAGGAACACAACTCAGCAATATTAACAATATCATTTTAAAGTCATCTACTTTAAAATGTATAATATACGTCTGTTTGTCAATATGAATGATTCAGATAGAATTAAATTATTAAAAGAATTTTTCACCAACAAAAAACAAAATTTGTTTAATTTATTAGATGTTTTTTATTTTGAGAAAGATTTCCGAAGTGGAAATAGAAATGTCTAATAAACTTATTTTAAACTTAAATTGTGGCTTATTCCCAATTAAAATAGTAATTGCTTTAAGATGCCACAAGAAAATAGCTTCAGAATAATGTTATACACTTTTTTTGGAAAAATACATTGATCTGAAAACAATATCATGGGTTAAAATGTATATCTTGTGGTTGTGTATGCACACAGAAAAATATTTTAATAGTTTTTACAAAATTCATTAAATTAATTTTAATCTAGAATTTCTAATTTATTAAATATTTTATGCCTCTAATCCATATGATATCTTTAAATTGGTTAGTTTAGATTACAATCCATTTAGTCCAGGCTGTGAGGCCGCTCCCGTTGGGAAAATGTTTCTGATTCGGTTTCTTCGCGGATTCCGGTTCAAAAATGTCCCCTTTAAACAAATCTGAAGGGTGCCGGGCGAAATTTTTGGGCAGAAATTGTTTAAACAATTTTTTTTAAACAAATTCCAAAAATATTTTTTTTAATCTGGAAAACGTTTTTTTAGGTTTTTTGGGTCATTTTAAACAAAAAAGGTCTCTTGTCATTTTTCTCTAAAGTTGATAGTTTTCGAGTTATAAGCGATTTAAAGTCTGAAAAACGCGAAAATACGCATTTTTGAGGCTTGAAAACACATATGTAAATTATTATTTTTGAGGTTACCAAGTGTCTAAATTGAAGTTTAAACATTCAACTTCAAGATTGTGAAGAGTAATCGGGGCTTATTTTAATTTAGACCGTTGTTTTTAATTGTTACTTATGCATAGTTTACATATACACTTACGCAAAAAAACCCGAACAAATCCTTGAAGTTTATTAACATAGTTTTTTCCATAATTTATTTATGTAGGTATTAATTATTGTCATTGGGCTAATTAAATAAATCAATCATCGCAATGTAATAACCGTATATAGTTTTTTTTTCTTCCAAATTTGAACAATATAATTATTATTTATTGAGTATATATTTATTTATATCAATTGTAAATAATATTTTTAAATTATTATTTAAATAATACAATGCAGTAAATATTAATATTAGTAAACTTAATTTTAAATTGCGCGGTGTTTAAAAACAATATACTATCGCAAAAATGCAAGTTTTTACCTGTTTAACAATCGCGCGCTCATACTTGATTTGTTATTACTTAAACGATCATTAGGAAGACTATTGTTTAATGCCCATTAAAAGGGTATTATATTATTAATGTGTTATTAAAAAAATTGTGAATGGATTTAAAATGTCTTTTTCCGTACCTCTTCTTAAATGAAAACTTACCGAAGAAAATTTAGTTTGTATTTTTTGTAATAACATCAACAATATTAAGTTAGTGCAAAAACCTAAAGTAGATTTTTACATAACAATACAAAATGCTGCTCTTCGACGAAAAGACAGTGTGACTGAAAAATTTAATTTAATCTAGCCAATATACCTTGTACCTCTGACGCACTTTACCAACACTTGTTAAGAGCTTTCGCTAAAACATATATTTGGCGAAATGCCATATATTCCCGCTATCAAACTCTCGATTTTACACAATATGGATATTATATGTCTGATAGTGGTGGGTTGGGAAACCGTGCAAATGCAAAAAGACTTGCAAAACTAATGCTTGCAACTGCAAGAAAAATCATGTCAACTGTGTACCATTATGTGGATGTGATTTAGATTTTTGTGAAAACAAAGATACTTTTACTGAGTGATATTAGTGTGTTATTTAACAATCTTTTGTACAATTATTTTATGTAACTATTATTAGACTTTAGACGAAATTTATATTATAACTCAATTGATATAAATAAATATATACTCAATAAATAATAATTATTTGTAAGTATATGTAAACTATGCATAAGTACGATAGAGGCGCACGGTAGCGCGCGGCGCCGCGGCGGCTGAAAAATCGAGTGTACGCGCATACTTAACAATTAAAAAACAACGGTCTAAATTAAAATAAGCCCCGATTACTCTTCACAATCTTGAAGTTGAATGTTTAAACTTTAATTTAGACACTTGGTAACCTCAAAAATAATAATTTACATATGTGTTTTCAAGCCTCAAAAATGCGTATTTTCGCGTTTTTCAGACTTTAAATCGCTTATAACTCGAAAACTATCAACTTTAGAGAAAAATGACAAGAGACTTTTTTTGTTTAAAATGGCCCAAAAAACCTAAAAAAATGTTTTCCAGATTAAAAAAAATTATTTTTGGACTTTGTTTAAAAAAATTGTTTTAAACAATTTCTGCCCAAAAATTTCGCCCGGCACCCTTCAGATTTGTTTTAAAGGGGACATTTTTGAACCGGAATCCGCGAAGAAACCGAATCAGAAACATTTTCCCAACGGGAGCGGCCCCACAGCCTGGACTAATTGTCAAAATATAAGTTTTGTTTAACATTTTCGTTTGGATTATATTTATATTTTTATTATTTTAAATAATATTCTATTTAAAAGTCGTAATTGAAATAATACATCAAGATTTAATATTTTTATTACTGTGGTTTTGTTTCTAGGAATATTGCAATATTTTACACTTAGTTATGTTGCTAGAAGTTCTTTAAATACAGATAGTATGGTTTACTTCTAATGTTACTTTTTTAATTATCGCTACTATATGGCGTATTGTCTATGTTGTTAATAACTAATAAATTTTTATATTTTAGACCATCGAACATCTTCAAACAAATGTTAATTTAGAATATTTGGATTTATCAGAAAATAGTATAACACATATAACAGATTTATCTTTTTTAAAAAATCTTAAGGTGAAACAATTAGTTTTATTATGCTCATATGTGATTTACAATAAAGTTCTGTCTGTCCATTCCTATATCAATTTTTAATTACTAAACATATTCATTTGACTTAAAAGGGAAAATTCCCAGTGGTTTGCTGTATAGTCTATAAGTAAAACACTTCTCGTGTAATTAGTATATTTAATTTGCAATAAAATTATCCAAAAGGATTATACAGAAATTTTAAAACGTTTTTGATCTTATCAGACCATCATCATCAGTGATACTTGAATATTTGCAAAAAGTCACTAACAATTCGGTGTTTTTTTAACCGAATAATCATAGACATTATGTCATTAAAGTTTAAATAACATTTTACATGTAAACTAAAGGTTTTTAAACTGAATTGTAGTGGTTTTTTGAAATGTTTAAGTATCACTAATGATTGTTAAGACAAAAAAATATTAGCTTTAATAGATATAATAATATAGAAGACTCCCTCTTTAACGAGAACTGAAGTGGCAGATAATTACCTCGTTATAAGCTGATCTCGATATATTAGACAACAATAATACTGTGCATACATATGAATATGTTGTTTTCTAAAACATTATGGCTAGGCGCATACACATCGAATTTGGACGGTCGATAAAAGTTCGATCGAACTTTGGTCGATGATGCCTTGCGCGCACACTACACGATATTTATTCGATGACGTTTTTTAATCCACAAAGGTTTGTTAGGTGGAGTACACAAAATCACAATGAGCAACACAGAACCACGTAGCAACACGGAGCGACGTTCCTTGAGCAGTGTCAAAAAAACGCAACTGGTCCTCTGGTCGGTCGATAAAGATCGATGTGTGTGCGCGCGTTCATTTGGTACTATACGCCTTGGAACGACGGCAACGACCACGGCAGCCGTCCATGCAGTGACATTCATCGATCGCCACACTACATCGATGCCGTGCCGTTCGGCGATCGATGTGTGTGTCCGCTCACATTTGTTTCGATCGAACTTTTATCGACTGTCCAAATTCGATGTGTGTGCGCCTAGCCTAACTTCCTATAGTGAAGCCATTCGAAGCAATAATGCTAAATATTGTTTGGATGGCGTTTTTGAAAAAAAGTAGTTTACTTTTATTTACAATGAAATACATTAAAACAAAAAGGAGTTGGTTACTTTTATTGTCAATGATATACGTTAAAACAAAACATCTGTACTTACATGTTTTTCCAACTACTAATGTATAAAGCGTATTTTCAAGGATAACATAAACTATTGCTTCTGCAATTGGAAGAAGTCTGTCATTTTTGACTGCCCTAAATTGTCCAGTATCATTCTATCTATCATCTTGTCTATTAGGACCTTCTTGCGTAGACTCACCGCGATTGTCTTCTCCATCTTCATCACTTTCGTCACTGACGATAAAGCACTCCGCCGTCGGATTTATTACTTCCGCGATAATTTCACTTTCCGTCGAAAGATCACAAACAATGACGTCATCATCAATGGCAATGAATTCAGCAAACTCGTCATCATTGTTCAGTTGGTTTAGTTTTTGACCTTGCTGTTGTAACCTCAACCACTCTGCTACAGGATATTCAACTTTCTACCTAAGTCTCTGTCCACTCCGTATGACCAAAACATTTTCTGATGGTTTTTTTTATCTATGAGTTTCCATGCTTTGTGGATGAAATTTATGGCATCTAATAAAGTAACAGGGGATTCACTACGGTTTTCCACGTTATTCAGGATCCACTTAACTAACAGTTTTCTGTAGTGAACTTGAAGGGACCTTATGATGCCCTGATCCATCGGTTGCAGAACAGATATGCAATTTGGGGCAAAGAAAATAAGTTGAATGTTTTTTAAACCGTTAACTTTCGGATAGGCTGTACAATTGTCAACAATTAAAAGAATCTCGTGTCAATGTTCCACTTCAAAAGTTCTCCTCTAAAAATCTCTACTGTCATCCACGATTTTTTATTAAATTTATATGTAACAGGAAGCCGATTCACACCTCTGAAATATCGTGGTTTTTGAGATTTCCCAATGATTACCAACTTCCTTTTTCCGGAACCGGACATGTTGGCACACGCGAGTACAGTTACCCTTTCTTTTGATAACTTGCCACCTATACAACGTTCATTTTTGAATTTGAGGGTCTTATCTGGAGTAAGTTTAAAAAAAAGTCACAGCTCGTCGGCATTGAAAACATTATCGTCACTGTAATTTTGTCTTATTGTAGACCATGACTTCAACCAGTTGTCGGTGACTTCTTTGGAAACACTCTTCGCTTCACCGCAAATTTTTCCACACGTAATTTCGTGCCTGGCCTTAAAACGGCTCATCCACCCACTCGATGCTTTAAAATTCTCATCACCACCTAGCGTCTGCGAAAACTGTGTTGGTTTTTCTTGAACCAGTTGTCCACTTATTGGAACATTCGCAGCCCTGTTTACGGTAAACCATTTGACCATTGCAGTATCGAGTTCTTTATTAGTTGCGACACGTAATTTTGTCTATTTACCGGAAAAAGACGAACCTACTTCCAAAATCTTGTGTTTATTTTTGAGCATGTTAGATAGAGTGGAATCTGAAATTCGTATTTCACAACAAACTTCTGCTTTCTTCTTACCGTTCTCAACATCTTTAAGGATGGTAATTTTTTCTTCTAAAGTAAATGCTTTTCTTTTAGGAGTCATAGTGTGTGATCTATTTGACTATGTAATCTATAACACAACTTTCAAGACGCGAAAGCACAATCAGGAAACAAATGATAAACATCTACGACAAAAACAACTGTGAAATGAAATTCTAGTTGAAATTTGTTTTATTTGTTATGCTTTTAACGTAGTTTTAGATTCGAATGGTCAAACTCCTACAGTGACACTTGTGAATCATAAATTGTAAATTTCCTACAATATAATATCGGCCGGTAGATTAAACAGCAGAAGATTTTGCGGGCGGCAGTTAAAATGAGTATTTAGTTATAGTCACGGAAGCGCCAAAAACGTAAAAAACACGATTTTTGATCTTATTTTCTCTCGTTATAATCAAATTTTCCTTGCTATAAAGGGTTATAGTACAATAGAACTTCCACGGGACATCTAATGTACCTCGGTAAAAGCGAAACCTCGTAATAACCGTGTTTCTTATAGAGGGAGTACACTGTAGTTACCTGACAAAAGAAGTTCTCGTTCTAGTAAATAATGCCTCTCTAGTACCAAAGCCTTTTCTAAATCCAAGTTGGTTTCCTATTATTCTATCATCTAGTTTTTGTATACACGTTCATCTATCACTCACAAGAAGACTTTTAAAACATGGTTTATCTAGCTAATTGTTCTATATTCTTCACGTTTCATTGCATTGATTTTTTGGGTATAGGGATGAACTCAGATACTAGCCCATTTTTCGGAATTTCTCCGGTATAGTAAATTTCATTAAATAGTTCTACTAGTTCATCAATATGATTCTCTGTTAGTAGTCTCAAGATTTCTGTAGGTATTTCATCTGATGCCTTTATCGTTTTTTATACGTTTAAGTGCTTTTTCAGTTTCCTCTTTGGTAATTGTAGGTCCATTATTACCTCTTAGTTCTATTGTCTCCATTCTTTCGTCGTCTTCAAATAGCTGTTTTATATATTCTTTCCATATATTTATTTTCTCTTCACTTTCAATTATAATTTTGTCGTTTGTCCATTATATTTCCACGACCTCGTTTCTTAGTATATACCAGCTGTTTCTTTAATATCTCTGTAAATATTGTTTTTATAATCTTTTTATTTCTGCACATTTTCCTGATAGCCATAATTTCTTTCCTTCTTTGATTGTTTTATTTACGTTTTTCTATTGTTTGTTTTTATTCTTGTATTGTCTCCTTTCCTATATCAATGACTTTATTTCTTGTGTTATCCATTGTTTATTTTTACGGAATGTATCGTCTTTTAGTTGTTGTTGTTCGGTTTGGTGTTCCTCAGGATTTTCTCTAACTCTCTATTTTTCTGCATCGTTAAATTTTCCTTGTCTTTCTACTTCCTGGACTTCCTTGTGTATTTGTTCTTTAATCTTGTGACAGAGATCAGCTTCTTTTAGCCTTCTTAAATTAATTCTAGGAATCTATAATCATTATCATATACTTTGGTGAATATCCCTTTTTGAACTGCCCATTTCATGGGCTGCTAAAAATCTAGTTTGGCCTAATCTCTTTTTAAATTTTCATAAAGACCATTTGCAAACCAGACAGAAAGTTATTGTTTATCACAATCATTATAGTGTTTAACATTATCAATAGAACTAAAGTTTTACCTTTTTGCTGAGTAAATTTTTTTGCAGGAATTGTTTTTACATAAAAATAAGATTAATCACTTAAGTCAGTGTGATAGGTTTTTACCAACAAGCTTAACAGTACTAACACTTGCTAATAACAATATACAAGACCTAAATGAAGTGTCTAGGCTTGTCAATTTGGTGAATTTGACTAAAATATCCATGGTTAACAATCCGTGTGTAAATATGACAGGCAATAACGTGTATCCTTTTTTAACAACAATAATTATTTTATAATTATCGTTCTCATGAAACTGGTTCTATTATAAGTGGAATAATAAAGATACCCATTTTACCAAACAATGGGTCAAAGTTTTATTATACTTTTAGGTTCATGTTTGTGACACCCGCCACAGTTTCCGTCTTTTGCTCTTACTTATCTAGTTGTAGATCTTTTATGACTTTCTATTACCATTTCACCAAGTTCTTCGCTTTTTTTACAACCTTCTGATATTTTTCAAGACAAGCTTTCTTTCTTTTTTTTTACCCTCTTTCTATGCCGCATATCTGTATATTATTGTAATAAAAAGATTTATCTATTCGTAAATCATGTTTCTTTGTTGTAGATAGTGTTTGCTTGTGACTAAGCTAGTCAATTTTCTAGTTTAGAGTAAAAGTCTTTAGTCGAATCTATAGGGGTCTGAATTTAGTGAACTTTAAATCAGGTGGGATACTTCTTGTTAATGGCACTTGGTCACGGAACCTTTGTTCCAAACGTTGTTGTATCATTAAACTCCATCAAGAAATCCTGTACTCTTGAGATAGTAGCCAGCAATTTTCTTATGGGTAGTTTATAGATTTCTTCTGACTCAAAGCTCGCTTTGTCGGTGAACCCGCCTCTTGTCATTAAACATTTCACATTTAGAAAAAAACATATATGACAGTTTTTTTCCTCCACATCTCATTTTCTGTACCATGGTTATTCATCCTATGTTGTAGAGTTGTTTTCTAATTGAGTGACTTGATGTTCCTACTAAATTGTTATATGTGATATAAGCATCACTATTTTTAAGCTGTTAAATAAACGATGATAATCAGAATTTTATTCCACTTATAATTAAAGTAAATGTAATATAATATGCTTTTGTAATATTTTTTTGTTGGTGTAGGTACTGCTTTAATCGTTGTAAAACAATTTGTTTAATATCAGCCATAACAATATAATATTTGGTATATGACATGTATACTGTATTATTTTCAAAGTATGAACATAGTACACTAAGAAAAAAATGTATTTTATTTAAACAAAAAACAATTTTGAGTTTTGTTTTATATTGAATAGGATGTAAAATATATCTACAAATGAATTTCTTCAGTTAATTTTTTATAGATCAGTATATTAAGTGCACAAGAAGATATGGATGTCCCGTTATTTCACTTTAAAAAAGACAAACCTATAACAAACATTTTCTTGAACTTTTTATTCCAAAAATATTTTAACACGCATTTCTTTTATAGACGGCGGAGGAACTATGTACTAAAAGGCTTGAATATCCTGTCCCTTTTGCTCCTACTATGACAAGCGCCGCTATATATTCGGACTTATTAGGAAATGGTAAGACAAACTCAGAGAGGGAAGACAGGATGTTTACCAAATTTTCTGCTACAGAGTGGACACATTACTTAAGCGATATCTACCTTGAATGTCAGAGTATAGAGACAACTGTATCGCACTTCTTCCCGTGCCACATCATCTAAGAAGGTGGTCAATTATCATCGCAGTTCGCACTTTCGATACCGTTTCGCTCTAAGGAGATCAGCAGAATTGAAGTTGGTTAATCGGGAGTTGCGTCTTCTTCCATGACTCCTTCTACCATGTATTCTTTCTTGTGTTATTAATTGCAGCAAGTTATAACCCTCGCCCTTCATAACGTATCCCAGTCATTATTTACACTTTTCTAATTTTAATAGTATTTAAAACCTCTATCATTTCCCGTTCTTCTCAACATCTCAAAATTTCTGACTATTCACCCAACTTATTCGTAATATTCTTCTCTAGGTCCATAATTCTAAGGCTTCCAATCTGTCTGAAACGTCTTTCTTGAATGTCCAGGCCTCCAATTCATAAAACGATACGGAGAACATGTAGCATTTCTCTGCTACAGAATACTTTTTTTAGTTTGTTGAAAGCATTTCTTGTCTGCGCTATTCTTGCTTTAATTTCTTCTGTTTACTCATTATTTTCATGAATTATTTTTATTATTAATTAGTCATTTAATTATCTACTTTCAGATGTGGATTTACCGACGAATATTGCGGATAGTTGAGTTGATCGAATAACAAATGAAATAGTTTTACACCGAATGAAAAAAAGCACAGAAATAACAAAAACAATAAAAATTCGAAAGTACAATATTTCGGCCATGTAATGAGACATTCAAAGATGTATGACCTTCTACCCCTCATAATACAGGGCAAGATCGGAAGAAGAGGCCCAGGCCGAAGAAGAACATCCTGCATACCGCATGAATTGTTAGGCTTTCTTGGCGCTGTTGAGCTTTTCTGATCAACAAAAATTGTATTTATCCATTTTCTTCACTGACTTATACCATTCTTATAAACCATTTGTTTTGCGATCCGTATGTTATTGGTTGGTCGACCATTTACTTTTATTCACGTAGTTAGTTCTTCTAGTGCTTTCTGGATTATTTCCTCCGATTATAAATTGATTATTATAGGTCGGGAAGATCATGCACCGACGCTATATTTATAATGAGGCAAGTGCAAGAGAAATCATTAGAATACAACAAATCGGCATACTTATGTTTCGTGGATCTTATAGAGTCATTTGACCGGGTCAAATTAAAAGACGTTATCCACTTACTGTATGCAAGAGAGATACCTCTAGGAATAATCAAAACGATCGAAAATATCTACCAAAACAACACAATAAAAGTAAAAGTAGAAGAAGAACTAAATGACCCTATTGAAGCTGGCAATGGGATAAGACAGGGAGATTCCCTGAGTCCTTTATTGTTCAACCTGATTATGGATGAAATAATAAAAAAAGTAAGAACTAAAAAAGGAAACCAAATGGGAGAAAAACAACTTAAAATAATCTGCTATTCAGACCCGCAATACTATTCTCTCAAAGTAAAGTTGATTTACAACGTATGCTGCACCAATTTAAAATAACCGCCAGAAAATTTAACATGTTAATTTCACCAAAAAAGACAAAATGCATGGTTACAACAGAAAATTTACCAAGATGTAAATTGGAGCTGGAAGATCAGATAATAGAACAAGTGATGGAATTTAAATATCTAGGCATCACATTATCTAGCTACGGAAAGCTCGAAACCGAAGTGGAAGATCAATTTGAATAGAGCAAACAGAGCCGCAGGCTGCCTAAATGAGACAATATGGAGAAATAAAAATATCGGGAAAGAAACGAAAGGCAGAATTTACAAAACAGTCATCAGACCAATAATGACATACGCGGCAGAAGCAAGACCTGACACATACAGTACAAAAAGGATGTTAAAAACAGCAGAGATGAAAACACTTAGAAAAATTGATGGTAAGACACTATGAGACAGAGCTAGAAGTACAGATATACGACACAGATGCAAGGTGGAGAACATCAAAAACTGGGTAAGAAATAGAAAAGTAGAATGGAACGATCATATAAGCCGAATGACAACAAATAGAGTAGTAAAGACGGCAAGGGACGGTTCCCCAATAGTAAGACGATCATTAGGAAGACTACGAAAATGATGGAATGACAACTTACTGGAGGCACATTGAAAAACAGACAGAGTCATGTCTATATAAAAAGAAGAAGAAGAAGATTATAGATTGAACAGAGTAGGAGACAAGACACATCACTGCTTGATATCCCCCCGAATCTGTGTTTCTTCTGAAAAAAGGTTGTTATCCTTTACCCCAGCTATCTGCTTATAATAGAGAGCGCTAATGATCCTGATGTCTCTCACGTTTACATTAAATTTTTCTTTTTAAGTAATTTGGTAAGGCGATCTTATGGAAGGCTTTGTTTTGATCTAAATATCACACGGACACTGGCTGATTAATATCCATGTACCTTTGCGCAAGTAAATTTACGGCGAACAGAGCTTCTCTCGTTCGCAGCGCATTTCTAAATTCAAATCCATATTTCCTTTGCCTCTCTGGTCTTTCTTTTTATGTCTGTGTGTGTAATGGTATACACGTTTGTGTCTCTGATTTTAGAAAATCTCCTTTATTCCATAAGGTCCAGAATCTCCTCGGTCATCCATTCATTTTTACTTCTAGTTGGCTTCGATATTAGTGTTGTCTCACATGTGCGTATAAGAGCATCTTTTAACATGTGTCATTTCCTGTTCGCAGTTTTTGCAATTTTTTGTGTGACATGATTTTTTGTTGTAGGGTCTATCAAACGAAATACTTATATTTTGTCTAAATTAGTTTTAGCTGCAAGCTTCTTTGGTTTAATTCTTAACCTTCTTACGAGTGGGATAACACACTAGCAGGCTTCAGTTCTCTGTTCTTTCTCTCTAAAAGTTGGTGTCTCGTTCATACTATGACATGTTTGATGTCACAAAACAGTGTGCCAGAGTTCAAAATTGTAGAGAGAAAGAACAGAACATCCATGCCTTGAAGTTCGTAATTACAGTCATTTGTTGTTGGTAGAGGTATTTCAAGTATGTTAGCGGGTGCTACGTAGTTCGTAGATTCACAGGAGTCTCTTTTTTTTTGCTATATAAGGTAGATAGCCCTTACGCAATGGTGTCCATTCCGTAGTGGCAAATTTGGTTAAAAACCCTGCCTTTCCCGAGTTTGTCATCGACCTACTTCTGACGAGACCCAATACAGGGCGACACATGTTATACTGCAGCCGAAGTATATCTACATATCTGTAGACAAAAACGACAGAGTATTGACGCCTTCTAATGAATCATTCATCGCTCCCTCGGTTTCTTATAAGAAACTAATATGTTCAAATATTGTTAGAATAAAAAATTCAATAAAATCTTACGTAATTAACGCAGGTAGACTTTACTAAATGTCTAATTTATATAAGTTATGACTTATTAAACAAATTAAAGCGATAATATTTTGTTACTGGGAATACTTTGAATGTAAATAATATATTATAAATACGGGTTTTTCTTTACATGTAACTACTATATAGGAGTATGTTTTAAAAGTACAATTTTGTTTTTGGTCTTCCAAAGAATTTAAAATCACCCATTATAGCCACAGTGAAACAGAGGCATGCCTTATTTATCTGAAAGGCAGGTAACACTAACACTTTAGTAGTATCTAGTACCCTGCAGAGAGGCAAGTGAGTGAGTACTGGCGAAACGGTCCGTTCCAATATCGCCTGTCTGAGGAATCTGTTAACTCCAGGTGAAAATGCTTCAGTTCGCGCACCTCAAACTTTTACTGTAGTTTTTATTGTTGGATAACAACTAGTTGAGAAGTCTTTTTTTGTAGGTTTTCTACGAAAACATTTTATTTTTTAATTTATTGACTTTTTGCTAAAAGCACAGTGTTTTTAATAAGTCTTATTAACATGACATTAATTAGTAATGCATTTATTGGAGGTCGATCCATCCAAGTTCTCGAAATATAGCAGCGAATACGTCGAAATTCGACGACAGTCTTTTGAATCCCCTCTTTCTTTAACAGATAAGATCTCTTTGATTCTGTCGCAACGGTGTTGCAACAAATTGCAATTAATACTACTCGTTTAATACTGACGAACTCTTTTCTTCTTTGGTGCTGGAGAACCTTTGTGTGTCCATTGGAACATTTAAACCAGTTCTTTGGTTTTAGGGGTATCTTTGTATCTACCTCCTGGTTTCATTCATGGTTATGAAGCGGCGAAAAATCCTTCGGATTGTATCAAAAAGGTTCCACCACGTCTTCAGAGAATTTTTACTCTAGCGTGATCAATAGTAACAAATATGAACAGTACAACGTCAAGTATTTTTTTATTTCCAAGTTTGTTAAAATCGAGTGAACATTGTCATTTGAGATATCAACTATATCTCCTATGTCGTTTACTTTTATTCTACGTTCATCTAGATTTGAGACGGTGGTTTTCCAATCACATCCGAAACAACAGCAGTTTTTTTTATTTAAATTGAAAATGACGAAGAGCATTGCAATAATGGTGAATCTAACTTTGATTTCTTGTAGCGGTAATCTCTAAAATTGGAAGTATATTATCGCTGTCTCAGGTTAGTGTTTTTTATTATTTCAAGATCACACAAAACGTTCCCTTTTTTTCATATCGTCAAATACAGATTAATTGACATATTATTCTGTTCTTTCATACTAATATATCTTTAAGGCACTATTCACTTTCTACGAAGTAGAAAGCTGGAGTCTCACAGAAAATCCCATAAAACGGTTAGAATCATTCGAAATGTGGTGTTACCGACGTATGTCATAGAACAGAAAATGAGCTTACTTCGGCCACATTATGCGTAATAATAAATATCGAGTTGTAGTCAATTCTAACATACCAATTTAGAACAAAGTCATACTGACCTATTGAGTAAGGTTATTATTACAGAAAGAATGAAATTGGAATGGAATGAAATCTGGTAAATAATGTTATTCCGAATTTGTTTTATCTCTACATTAGGCCAAGGAGTTATAGAACAACTTTCGCATCAATAAAATCATCTGAATGCAAACTGTATCGCTTTTAAGAAAGACCACCACTTCATAATCTTAATCTTATATGTTTTCAAGAAAATATATTCTTTTATAATGGCATTTGCTGTTTCGGATACCCCTAATATAAGAAAGGAAAAAAATGATACTGGAAAGATGCTGTTTTGATAATTGTTTGGAATAATGTACTGTACTCATACAATATTTATTTAGATAAGCTAACACTGTTTAATTTTTCCTTATTTCATACACAGAGGTTTTGATTACCGTCCTTTTATTGTAAACTGGTGTTTAAATGTCAACGTCATCGATGATTATGTTGTTGACGCTATTGAAAGGTAATAATAATTTGTAAGCGGTTATCTTGTGATTATCAATTCATTTAAATTGTATTCAGTTTATGAAATATTTTTTTACCTTTAATTGGGTTTTCAAAAATTATTTTTGTTCACGTAAGTAATGTACAAATTACTTGTTTTATATATAAATTATTAATGTAGAATTTTGCAAAACACACGTTTTATTCTTTTTGCAAACACAGTTTAATTTTCCAAAAAGAAGAAAATATCTTTTACAAAATGGTACATTCACATAAATTTTTAATTACTTCTTGGATTTTGAGTAGTAAACACAACATAAATCTTTCCATACTCTAAAACCGAAACACTTTAGTTCACTGAATACTTAGACAATAGATCAATACTAAAATTGTGTAATAAATATAGTCAAGCACAAAAATAACAATATGTCTTCGGAATAAGAGTGTCTGCAAATAATGCATATTCTTCTGAACATCCTCCTGGTTAAATTAAACCTTAAAATAAATATTTATGGTTATATTCAATAAATAATGCGAATTTTAATGATATTTACTTTATACTGTAATTTAAGCTGAAAAATTAAATCTTGGACCACTAGAAGAAACCTAATAATAGACTACTAGAAAACTCCGTAATAGCAGATGATTTTGGAAATAAGATAAATTATGAGCTTAAAAATTAAATAGAAAGATATGGACAAGCAAAAAAACTGTATATGGTAAATTCCGCCATGTTAACAATAGCTCATCGTCATCATCCAGCCTTCTGTTCCCAAAGTTGAACGTCTCCCTAATGGGTCTTACCTATTTTTTTCCAGTTCTGTTGGTCTTTCCTTCCTGCAGTTAATTCCCAGTAATTCTTTTGATGTCGTCTGTTCTTCGTGTAGGTGGTTTATCTCTGCTTCTTCTGTCTGTTCTTTGTCTTCACACTGTAATTTTTTGGGTCCACCGCCCGTCATTCATTCTAACCACATGGTTCGCCCAGTTCCACTTAAGCCATACTATGTGCTATATGACATATATGACGCCTGTACTTCTTGGTTTCTAACTCTGTCTCTGAGAGTCAGTTCAAGTAGCGAGCGTTCCATTCTTCTTTGGGCTACTCTGAGTTTGGTTGCTGTGGTCTGGGTTAAGGAAAGTGTTTCGACGACATAGGTCATGGAAGCACGCATTGGTCAAGCGTCTTCTTTTCAAATCATTTGCCATATTGCTTTTGAAGATGTCTGATAGACTCCATATGTGGTCATGCTAAAGTGATTCTTCTTTGCAGTTCAGCAGTTTGGTTGTGCCTGTCTGCCTGGTTATCAGAACTATGTCGTCCTTAAATCGTAGGGGGGGGGGAGAGAGCATTTCGCCATCGACATTGATTACTTTTTCGTCCCACTCCAATTTTTTGAAATCATGTTCCAGAACTGTGCTGTAGAGTTTGGGAGATAACGTGTCTCCTTGTCTGATTCCTCCTCTTTTGATTTTTATACAGTTTGTATCCTTGTAAAGTCTTACAGTTATTGTTGCATTATTGTATATATTGGCGATCAGTTTCGAGTACCGATAATCTATGTCAGTTATCAGCTATGTCCGGGATGACAGATGAAATATTAAACTTTATTCAACAAAGAAACAAGTAGAAAAATAAAGACAAGGTTCGATATAGAAAAATATGTCGACAAAAGTTATATGAGCTTAATATATAACAAAAATAAATTACCTGCACTCAAAAAAAAAGAACTCCTCAATTCCCCCAAACTCGAAAGGGAAAATAATTCTTGATTTAAACCAGAAAAAAATGGACTAAATACATGAAAGAAGGCTTCCTGATATGGAGACACCAGAAAATAGACTAATACTGGCCAGAGTATTTAGAAGCGGAACTAGAAAAAGCCATCAAGCAAAGAAAAATGGGAAAGCCTCAGGCCCGGGTCAAATGCCATCAAATTGGCTCAAACTTCTAAATGACGAGAATATCTCAGAGCTAACGAACATCTATAAGTACATTTACGAAACAGGAATAATTGCAAAAGTATGGTTATAGTCAGCATTTGTCCCACTTTCAAAGAAACCTAATATACCATCATGTAAAGACTCAAGACTAATTAGTCTCATGAGTCACTCTCTCAAACTGCTTCTCAAAATAATTATCAATGGAATTAAAGAGAAATTCAAAGAAACAACGAGAAAGAAATTATTCGGTTTCGGAGGAGGATTCGGAACAAGCGAAGCTTTGTTCTCAATATTAACACTACTCCCAAGATTATGGGAAGTACAGAAACCAATTTACGTATGCTTTGTAGATTTTGAAAAGGCGTTTGATAGGGTTCAATACCATAGGCTGTTTGAACTAACTAGATATGATGGTATAATGTGCGAAACGATCATATATATAACCTGCTGCAACTTTTATTACAGGGAAAGGTCTACGGAAAGAGGGGACCAGGAAGAAGAAGAATATCTTGGCTCCAGAACTTACGCAAATGGTTTTCCTTGACCACTTCAGGACTATTTCGAGCTGCGGTCAATAAAGTTAGAATTACCATGCTAGTACATCCGTAACGGATAATCACCACAAGAAGAAGAGATATGATGGGAGTAGATGATAGAGATCTAACCTAACTAAATATGATGGAAATAAATGATACAGATCTAAGGCGTGTTCCAAATTTATATGGAAACAAAAAGCGTCTTTTGGTAGGCGGCAACTACTTGTGGTTAGTAAAAAACGGGATGTGGCACTCCGGGAAAGACCGAGAAGGGGAAGCATAGCTTTCTTAACATCTACGTGGGGTGCGATGGTTTTTAATTTAACTTATTTGGTTAAGAAACCCTACCCTACGCAGTAGAGTCGCGCAAAGTGTGTGGTCACGCGATCTGCCGTTACTCCGTTTGTAGTCTGCGATAGGAAATATGGGCTTCCAACAAAACGTTGGACCTATACAACGAATTTCAGCAATTAGCCCATTTCAAAAGTTAATTTTTATAAGTACTTGGAATTCTGGATAAACAACACACAAAATCGCGATGAAGAAATGAAAACTCGTACACAAATGGCAAGAGGAGCATTTGTAAAACTTAGATTTATAACCTGCAATTATTAGCTGAACCTACAACGAACAATTAAGTTCTTAAATTGTTATTTTTGTCTATCCTCTATTACTGTACACCTGTACAGATATGAAATGTGGATCATGAAAATTAATATGATAAACAAGTTAAAAACCCTCGAGATATGTTTTTATCGTAGAATTATAAAATAGCGTATAATGATACTGATACTGTATCCTGCAGTTAATACTCAACCGAAACATGGAAGGAAAAAAAAGGGATTGGAGATCTATGGAGGCTACCAATTTCTTAATCTGGGTCTCTCTCTCTTCAATCCTGACCCTCCAGGGAGAGTGTAGTGGTCGACGTGATGTCGTGTATTGTTCGTCTCCAGAGATCTCTGTCTCTGGTCATTTCTTTTAATTCATGCATAGGTCTTTGGCATATTCCTGTAATTTGATCTATCCATCTTGTTGGGGATCTTCCTCGTGATCTTCGGCCTTCTACCTTTCCTTGTATTATGAGTCTTTCCATGTTTTCTGTGTTTGCTCTCATAACATGCCCAAAATATTTTAATTGTTGGAGATGGACTTTACTAGAGAGTCGTTGGCTAACTTTTAGCTCTCTTAAAATTGAATTATTTGTTCTACGGTCGGTCCAAGGAATTCGTAACATTCGTCTCCAACAGAACATTTCAGTGGCGTCTATCTTTCTTCTCTCCGATTGTCTCAGAGTCCAAGATTCACATCCGTAGGTCAGTATTGGGAATATTAAGCAGTTGATCAACCTCATCTTTATCGCTCTTGAAATTTGACAGTCCTTCCATATTTTGGTCATTTTTGCTGTGGCAACTTTTGCTAGATCACATCTACGTTTAATCTCTTCTTGTAATGACCCTGTGTTTGTGATTAATGATCCCAGATATAAGTATGAGCTCACAACCTCGAACCGGTCAATTGTGGTTATGTGTGGATGATTGTTGTGTAGTCTATCCACTATCATGATCTTTGTCTTTGATATGTTTAATTGCAGACCAAATATTTGACTTTCGTTTTCGATCAGTCGTATAAGTTCTATCAGCTCTGCTTGACTATTTGCAAGAAGGGCTGTGTCATCTGCGAAACGTAGGTTGTTTAGTTTATGACCATTTATTGAGATGCCCTTTTCCCATCCTTCAAGTGCTCTTCGCATAATATACTCCCCATATATGTTGAATAATTGTGGAGATAGTATACATCCTTGTCTGACACCCCGTTCTGGATGAAATTCGTTCGAAAGTGTGTCAAGTACTTTAACTGATCCAGTAGTGTGTTCATATAGTTCAGTTATAAGCGTAATTAGATGTTGTGGTACGCCTACTTCTTTTAGTATTCGCCATAAGTGTCTCCACTTGACCCTGTCGAACGCTTTACGGTAATCTATAAAACAGATGTATAGTGGGATGTTGAATTCCCTAGATTTCTCGATTATCTGTCTTATATTCAGCAGGTGTTCTCGAGTGCCTCTACCTTTGGTAAATCCAGTTTGCTCTTGTGGAATTTCTCTTTGAAGGAATGTTTTCAGTCTCTCATTGATTATATGTAGCATTATCTTGCTGGCATGGGATATAAGAGAGATAGTTCTATAATTGTCGCATTTATGGAAGCTTCCTTTTTTATGTATGGTCGTTATTGTAGATTTTGTCCAGTCTTCAGGCCATTGTTTGGAATGCCATATTTGGTTACAGAGTAGATGAAGTAACTTTACGCCGGTTTCTTCTGTGGCTTTAAGCATTTCTGCTGTTATCATATCTGGACCTGGTGCTCTGATACTCAAAAAAGAAGAAGAATTCAATTAGGAAAATATAAAAGTAAATCAGGCAATGGCGAATTTACTACCAAGACACTAACAAGTATACTATTAGAGTAGTAACAAAGAATAATTTTAGAAGAAGTGAGAGAACATTGAGATAAAGCTGTGTAATATTACCAACACTGTTTATAGTAGTTATAGAATAGACAATCAAACTTAAAAAATATAGAGGCACAGATATAAAGTGGAATGCTTTTGGCAAATTACAGGATTTAGAGCTATAACAGACAGCATATTCAAAACAAAACTTCTAGATTCAACGAATAGCAAAAAAAACTAGATGTGGTACTCCGGGAGTGACCCAGAAGGGGAAGCATACATTTTTTTACCGTGTAGGCGTGGAGCTATTTTAAATTAATTTGAATTGAATTCAATGTGATTCAATTTATATATATATATATTATATATATATATATATATATATATATATATATATATATATAAGGAAAAGAAGTCTTTGCTGACAACGTTAGAAAACGGAGCTTTCAGGTTTATTGGGATCTATGTATTTATATATTGGGATATATATATATATATATATATATATATATTATATATATATATATATATATATATATATATTATATATATACACTCCGCCAAAAAAGTATCGCATCACCTATGAAACTGCTAATTTTGTATTAAAAATAATTTAAAACATGGATTTTTCACTGTTGTTTTTTTTTTATTTTTTAAGTAGGTAACAAATAAAACAGAAAAATGTAGAATGTACGAAGAACAAAGGTTTTATTTAATTTATTTTATAAATCAGAAGTAAGCGCACAAACAGCCTTGAATAAAAAAAAATCAAAATCAAAAGTAATGGTAATTTAATAAGATGTATTGCCTCCTTTAGCTCTTATAACATCTAGACAACGTTGTGGCATATTTCCAATTAATCTTCTTAAATATTCTTGATCGATATTATCCCATTCTATGGTTAACAACCGTTGCAGGTCCTGAAGATTAGCTTGCGTCACATTACCAGATCTCATCCTTCTGTAAAGATGGTCCCAAACATGTTCTATTGGATTTAAGTCCGGGCTGTGCGCTGGCCAATTGAAAACTTGTAAATTTACCTCATGAAGGTATTCATTGCGACGTGTAGGCGTGCATTTCCATGCACTAAAACAAACACATTACCAATAAATGCGGCGTAAAGAACAACATGCATCTCCAAAATTTCTCTAATATACCTGTCAGCAGTTAAGGATCCTCCATCTAGCTGTACCAATTCGGTTGACCCCTAAGAGACATTCCGCCCCAGAGCATAATAGATCCTCCACCAAAGTTTGTCGCCGGTCTTAGGTTGCATTGAAAATAACGCTCGCCATCTCGTCTATAAACTGGTATTCTTCGATCCGAAGTGTATAAACAAAATCTTGACTAATCCGTAAAGAGACTGTTACCCCAGTTGGCGATATTCCAGTTTACGTGCTCTCTTGCAAATGTTAGACGTGCTATACGGTGGTCCCTGGTAAGTCTCGTGGCAGTGGCAGCTACTCTGGCCCTAATTACAGACTGTCTTAAGATGTGCCTAACAGTTTCTGAAGACACACGTATATTTCGAGTCTCGGCTAAGTCATGTTGAAGTTGACTTGCAGTCACATGTCTTCGACGCAAAACCTGAACGACTAAAAATCTATTGTTTACATGCGTAGTTGCTCTTGGCCGACTTGTTACAGGTCGTCTTCATAAAGACCAGTCTCTTGGTACCTTACTACCACTCGTAATGCTGTCGACTGATTTACACCCACTAAATCTGCCACATATCTCAGACTCCTTCCGTCTTCATTGCGGGAAATTATTCTAACCACCTGATCTCTCGTTAAATTTAAATTTATATTGTCACGACCTTCCATACTCAATATTTAATACGAAATTTTAAATTAAACGCAAACTGTATACTTTTTACAAAAGTAAAATAAAGACTGATAATATAAGAACCAGACAAAATAGCAATTAACATTTTTTTTTCTTAAACAGTAAGCTGTATTTATAAATTTCTTTTTAATATTTATTCAAGCCTTAATATTCTTAAGGACCAGCACGAAATAATTTAAATTAACCAAATGCTGTCAAAAATATTTGCAATTTTATAAGTGATGCGATACTTTTTTGGCGGAGTATATATATATAATATTTGTTTCATTATAGTTTAAGAGCGGAATGGTTATATTCTCAAGGTAGAGGAAGACATTATAGAGTGGGCGATCAAAAAGAACTTGTTCAGTACCTTGCGACTGTTTGTCCTCTTACTGGAGAAACATTGGAAACTGAAGAAGATAGGAAATTACGACTTATATTAAGTAAAGCACAGCATCATCAACAACAACTAAGAGAGCAATCATCAAATAATGGTGAGTATACTACTGCTTATACAGGGTGTGTCTATATTCATCCGACAATACACAACCGTAGATAGTTATCGGTATTTGATAAATTTGTATATGGGAAAGTAAACAATTATAAAGAAACTCATCCTTAAAGAACTTATTTGCTGATTAAAAGTTTAATATTAAAATTAAAAATTTATTCGAGATCAAAAACAGTTGTGGACATTTTTTTATTTGGTAAACAATATACTCTTTAAGAAAGTAATTCTTTTAAATTAATTAACTTCTGGAAGATTTAATCGGTGGTCTATTGAGGTTGGTGGCAACTTTACGCTAATGATGCAAACATTTTTTAAATATTTTCTAAACGCTTCGCTTATTTCTTAATAAAAGAACCTCTTATAGAGCTAAAATGAACAGTGTTGTAGAAATTTGCTACTAAAGTAAGTCAGCACATACTTGGATAATTTAAAAATTTTATTTCGTAATGTTTTTTACCCGTTGGACTTTTGCTAAAAAAATTAAGCCTTTACGCTTATCTGTACTGTTAATCCCCAATTATCCAAGTCGACCCATTCGTTTTTCTAAAATGTCTGCCAAATGAAATCTATATCCTCTGCAGCATAATGCACAGATGTCCCATCGTGCTTAAACGATACGTGTTGTCATAATATTGGATAGGACAATTACTTATACAATAAACATTCAATTGAATATATTCAGTGAACTTTTTGATGAAATTCAGGTTCACGAACAGAGCACAGATTTTCCCCTTCGCAACCATGACCGTTTCTGGCAATTAAAATATAGTTCTTTAGTAAATTTGGCCTGTACACAATGCATATATAAAAAAAATCTATTTTCGTGACATTTTTGTACATACTGGTTCAAAAATTCCATACATACTTTAAAATACCTGGGTTCTATTACTTGAACACATACTTATAAGAATGGAACATTTGTTGTTTTCAAACTTCCCAAAGAATAGAACAGCCCACTTTTTAATAACGCCCTTAGTTCAAATATATAAAGATGAGTTTTCATGATTTTTCTCACATTAATAAGTTTAGGTCAATGATTTTTCGATATTTGCAAAAATACAATGATGTAGAATACGTCAATTGTGGAATTACTGTTGGTATTAATTAACATGTAGTAAATCCAACAAGATAAAAATTTATTTTTGATAACAAAATAGGAACTAGTAAGGCCTCCCGAATACAGGAACTATTAAAAATGTACACGTCCTTACTACAATAGAATGTAAAAATATTGAGTAGTTAAAAATTACCTAAACACTTGAAGATTTACTTCTTTATTCAAAAATTGACAGATAATATACAAAATATAAAAAATGCTTCAGTGAAATAAAAAAATAGGGAGGGGTTTATTGTCACTAACTCTGATAGCATGCAACTGGTTAAATTTTTGTTTAAAATCCTTTATAAAAGGTATATAAAATGCCTCAAACGGGCTATCACAAACACATTGCAAAACGTTTTCGGATTAAACAATCCATCATCAGTGCAAACGGTTGTACATGCTAGTAGCCACCAAAATATATGGGTAAAAACCCTTTAAATGTTATAAATTTGAAGTTGTTTTACATTATTAGTATTTCTAATTTGTGATGGTTAAGTTACCGTTGGATAGGTAACATGGCGGCGTATGACTCTACATGAGTAAAATGGTCCTGAGACGAAGTGTCTACGAGGACCTGTTGATAACAACTCAGTTGTAACTTAACCATCACAAATTAGAAATACTAATAATGTAAAACAACTTCAAATTTATAACATTTAAAGGGTTTTTACCCATATATTTTGGTGGCTACTAGCATGTACAACCGTTTGCACTGATGATGGATTGTTTAATCCGAAAACGTTTTGCAATGTGTTTGTGATAGCCCGTTTGAGGCATTTTTATATACCTTTTATAAAGGATTTTAAACAAAATTTTTTTGTGATATATGGTATATAGCCAGCTACAGGTACTTAGTTTCCTCGTGGAATTTGGTTAAATTTTCTTAAATTTTGTTGATGTCAAAGAATTACTATCTTAAAGAGCATATATTATTTGCCAAATTTGGAGAAAATATTCATCAGCGTCTTTGATTGTAACAAATTTATTTTAATTTTAAACTTTTAATCCGTCCTCTTTTAACAACTAAGTTCTTTAAAAGTTCATGCTCCTAAATCAAAATTCATTAATTAGCGAGAACTCTCTGTGTAAAAAGCGATATCGGTCGAGTGTGGAAACATCTCTATATATACATATGTATATATATGTATATATATATATATATATATATATATATATATATATATACATATATATATATATATATATATATATATATATATATATATATATATATATATATATATATATGTATTATAATAAATGGGTTATAAGCTAAGTGTTATTCTGTACAAACTTATATTTTGCTAATCGGACATGTTTTAGTTTATCGTTTTATTTAAATTTTCGTACGGTACCATCTTTATTATTCTATTTGTTTGTATCATTTTTCTGATGATGAATATTTTATCTGTTTATATACTTATTTTAAGATCATGTCAATATTTTTAGTTACACCAAATCCAAGTCCTATGACGAGAAAGAAATTAATGGGGGCAAACAGGCAATCTCCAAGATTTTCAGGTGGTAAGTGAACAAAAAGTTTTATGTATAATTTTGTACCAAAAACAAGCGCCACGGTTTAAATCATTCAGCAAAAAGAAAACAGCGTGGGCTTCTGTATTTTGCCCTAATTCTTTTTTAAAATTTGTTTTCATTTCCTATTCCGCTTTTATTTCTTCTTTCTCCAATGCTGTCTCCCTACGGAGGTTGGCAATCATAATGGTTATCTTTATTTTTGAACTTACTGCACTTAACAATGTAATTGATGTGCATCGATACTAATTACCTAAAATTTCAATTAATACTCTTCCGATTTCTTCTTCATTTTCTCCTCTCAACAAGCAAGTTGCTATCCTTATCAGTACATAATTTGTTGGTTCTTGGTTTAAATTCATTCTTGTAATGTTTATCTGGCGATAGAACTTTTTTGTTTCCCTTTCACTCATATGTCTTTTGGACCGTTGTAATATGTCATTTTCTGATTCTCCTGCCTTTTTTTGGTATAGGCTTTTGTCCTCTCTAGCTAATTTTTGTATTTATCCATTGTTGCTTTAGTTCTTCAATGTTGCATGGTTGCATGCCTTGTTCTTCTGATGTGTTATTTTCTTACACTCTTGGTCAAAACGATAGTTTCTCGATTGGCTGATTGACAAACCACAAACAAAGGAACAAACTGTAAAAACTCTTACTGAAAATATACGTAATGCCCAAGAACTGAATAAAAGTAGCTATAACATTGATCAGAAATGGGAAAATATAAAAGCAGCAATAATTAAAACAGCAAATAAAATCTTAAAACCAAAGAATAGAAAACATAAAGATTGGATGACTGAAGAAATACTACTATTAATGAATGAAAGAAAATCATTCAAAACAAAAAATCCAATTAAATATAATGAAACTGATCGATTAATAAAAAAGAGAATAAAAGAAGCTAAGGAGAGAATGTTACATGAGCAGTGCCAAGAACTAGAAGAAATTGAGAAAAAATATGACTTTTTTAACATGCATAAAAGAATTAGAGAATTAACAGGAATGAGAAAAACACTTCAAACTAGGCAACTAAGAGATGAAAGGGGTGCACTTATAACAGATATAAACCAAAAAATGCAGAGATGGACACAATATATAGCACAACTATTTGAAGACAAAGAGAACAGAAGCACCAAAAGAATTTAAGGATGATACTGGGCCTGACATTATACGAGAAGAAATTGAATATGCAATGAAACAAGCTAAAGATGGTAAATCTCCCGGGCCTGATGAAGTTCCTATCGAATTACTTAAAATTGTGAATACTGAATCTATTGATCTTCTTTTGGATCTATTCAATACCATATATAGAACAGGTATAATACCTAAAGAATGGCTCCAATCAACAATCATACTGCTTCCCAAAAAAGCCAATGCAAAGGAGTGCAATGAACATCGCACCATAGCCTTAATGAGTCATGTCTTGAAATTGTTTTTAAAAGTAATTCACAATAGAATACATAAGAAATTAGATGAAGGCATAAGTAATACACAAATGGGATTTAGGAAAGGACTGGGAACACGAGATGCACTGTTTGCAATAAGTGTTCTTTCGCAGAGATGCTTAGATATTAATCAGGAAGTATATGCCTGTTTCATTGATTTTGAGAAGGCATTTGACAGAGTGCAGCATAATCGACTTAAAGAAATTTTATTAAATAAAAACATAGACAGTAGAGACATTAGAATCATCTGTAACCTCTATTGGAATCAAACAGCAAAAGTGAAAGTTGAAAACGAACTGACCAAGGATATCCAGATTCGCCGTGGGGTCCGCCAAGGGTGTATTTTATCACCCTTGTTATTCAATTTATACAGTGAAGCCATCTCAGAATTAGCGCTTGCCGAGATCAGTGAGGGCCTTATAATAAACGGTGAGCCACTTAATAACATAAGATATGCTGACGACACCGTCCTTTTGGCAGGAACACTAGAAGAACTGCAACACCTTGCTGAACAACTAAATATATATTGCAACGATTATGGACTAAAAATCAATTTGAAGAAAACCAAGTTCATGGTATTTACAAAAGCACAAAACATCAAAGTTAAGCTAGTACTAGATAATACAGAAATTGAACAAATATCTTCGTACAAATACCTTGGAGCATGGATCACAGAAGATACTGATCAGACAAAAGAAATAAGATGCCGCATTGAAATTGCGCGGTCAACTTTTAATAGAATGAGAAAACTTTTTTGTAATCGCGATATCAATATATCGCTCCGGATAAGAATGCTTCGATGTTATATTTTCTCTACCCTTTTGTATGGAGTTGAAGCTTGGACACTTAAAAAATCCAACATTAAAAACCTAGAAGCATTCGAAATGTGGTGTTACCGACGCATTTTGAAAATATCATGGATGGATCGCAAAACAAACGAACAAGTTCTCGAACAACTAGGAAAACAATGCGAAGTTTTAAATTCCATAAAGATCAGGAAATTGGAATACTTGGGGCACATCATGAGAGGTGAAAAGTACGAACTACTAAGGAATATAATGCAGGGTAAAATCAAAGGTAGAAGAAGCGTAGGAAGACGTAAAATCTCGTGGCTACGCAATCTCCGTGAGTGGTTTGGATGCAGTTCAATTGAACTATTCAGGCGAGTAACCAATAAAATTATAATTGCCAGAATGATTTCCAATCTCCGATAGGAGTGGAACTTGAAGAAGAAGAATGTGTTTTTTGCCTCCGGATTTCATAACCTCTTTGCAGTTCTTCCACATTTTTGTACTCAACTGGCCAACTAGATTTGGTGTAGAGTTTCTCTTACGTGTGACTGGACTGTTTCTCTATATTTTCGTTTTTTAACAAATATAGATTGTATTTTTTTTTTGCCTAGTGCCCCCTTCTTTTTTGGCGGAAAAAATTCTGTGTCGAAACTTAGCACCTATCATTAAGTGGTCTTAATCAGTTTTTGTACCTTCTGTCATCCGTTAGATTTGTAAAGTGCCTTCAGTCTATTAGAACATGATATATTTGGTTTGCCAAATTGCCAATGGTTGTTTTCATTCAGTGATATCCAAGTTGACTTATGGATGTAAGAGCGAGACGCGAAATCACCAACCCTCGGTGACTCAGAAAAGCGCTTCAGGAAGGTAAACATGTTCTAGATTGTCAATTTAAATGATCTTTTGATCGGTTTGAAGGTCGCAAAATTACGGTAACTACACGCGAAAATATGTCGTTTTCGGAACCTTTCCAAAATTGGCGTTTGTTATATCTATAGTTTTTCCAACATAACATAATATATTAATTCATAAATTATATCTAGGAGTAAATACTACTTGATGATATTTTGTAGACTACCAACCTGTCTAGAAGGTCTAGAAAATGTAAACTTTGAAGGATCAAATATCTTTTAGGTGTGCCATATATATTGAAATTTTTTATGACAGAACAATATAATTATAAAAGAGAATACCGTGCCAATACATTACATGTCCTATTTTTTTCATGTTTTCAGGTTCAAAAGGAACTAACAATAGAAGTAAATCACCTGACAGAATGACGTCCAGTTGTTACAGCCCTTTTAATGATTCCAATAATTCGAATATAATGACTCAAAGTTTAGATCCATTGCTGTTACGAATGAGCGTAGTATCACGACCAGTATCGAACGATTCAAACAGTATTATAGCTGAAAAGTGTTTAGGTAAATATTACTATTTTTAAGATGCTGTTTAATATCTTCTTTGATTATTACTATTGAATGGTTGCGACTTTAATTTCGAGATAAAAGAAAACAAAATATTTAAAGCTACATTTTATACACTTTTGCATATATGACTAAACTAATTGTCAAAACAATTTTTTTAGCCAGATGATATAAACTAAATTTCCTTTTTTATTTAACGACTAGTTGATACGTTATAATTTTACGTTTTTTTAATTAGTTTTGTTTTACTTAATTGTAAAGTAAAGTGGCATATAATACTGGTGGTATAATTTAGACACTTATTATCGAATATGTGATTGATTTTTGCCAGTTATAGGTTTATTTGATTCCCCATATAATTTTGGAGAATCGTGAATAACCTTTATAGTTTAAATCCACTTCCCCCCTCCCAGGAGGTTGGTCGCGTGCACTCCTTGATATCTTCCATAAGATACTTCCATAAGTGTTTTATGTATAGCTCAGTTTTGGATTCTTCAAGACATTTTTACTGCTTCGTTGAAGCCCTTTGTAAATATGGATGCGATGGCTTTTTTTTCTTTTGTAGACTTTGTCACATGAGGCAGAAGTTAATAGTGTTTTTGAGAATTTTACTAGTTATAAGTAAATTTATGCTGTCAAGTTTTATTGTTAAGGTTGTTTGATGATGATACATTTTGATTATCTTTGATTAACTTCTAGATTTTTGACCTTCAGTCTCAGATTTAGTTTTGCTTGTATATTTTGTAGATAAATTCCTAGTTTTGGTGGCTAGTTTTATTTTATAATGTTAGTATAATTTAAGAGCGCCCATGTGGATCGGTACCTTGCTAGGTCCATTCACAAATCTGGACTTGGAATGGAATGGAATTTAGACATTTCTTTGTGGTAAACGATTATTTAATTTTATGAATAATACATTCTGTTGGAATTTTGAATCAATATTTACATTTTGGTTGTACTATGGCGTTAACACTGCTATACAAGAGGTAACCACCAACTCTATTATACTGATGGCAGACTTAAACGCGATAGAAATTAAAGGGATCAAATTCTTATAGAATTTCATTTGCAACACATGCTATATGTCATGAATATTTTATACACTTATTTAAAAAAAAAAAACAAAGAAAGTGGACATGATAAACACCAAATAGCTTAAACAAGAACGAAATTGACTTTATATTTACTAACAAAAAAAGACACTGTTCAAGACGTAACTGTACTAAATCAATTTTCAACCGGAAGTGACCATAGAATGGTTTGTACAAAGATAGTCTTAAACCAAAAGAAGGAATATGGTAATAAGGACTAAAAATTTTACATTCACTGCGATTACTAACACGGGGCCATACCAGGAAAAAATAGGGAGTAACCTAAGCCCTAAAGAAGGCAGAAGAGGTGCCCAGAAGTGCCAAGCAAACACGAAAAATAAAAAACTCACAGAAGACACAAGAAACCTAATGCACAAAAGAAGAGAAATGGGTTCCTTATGGCTTTCCCGTTAGGAAAGACATAAAGAACGTCGTTCCCTTTGTAAAACGGAATGTCGACGATCTGGTTTTAGCAACCCCGTCGGATAAGGCTGTGCACACCTTATCAGTTTTTAACTGCTTTAATCCTCACCTACAATTTACGTGTGAATTTGAGGTTAATAACAGTATCCCGTTTTTAGATATGCGAATTATTCGCACACCGGATAACAGATTAGTCACTACCTGGTACAGAAAAGAAATGGCTAGCAACCGTTTCTTAAATTACCATTCGATACACCCTATCAGATATAAACTTAACCTAGTACAAGCCCTCAGCCTTAGAGTACACATGTTGACACACCCGCTTTACAAAGAAGAATCTCTCAATCTACTGAAGTCCATTCTCATAGATAACTCCTATCCGGCATCCATCATCAATAAATTTCTATATTCCAAAAGCTATGGGCAGTCCATTACTGAAACACCCAACGGGCTAACATTAGCGTCCATATCTAACAAAATACAGATGAATAAGTCCCCTCTCACTCCTGAACAAACCACAAAATATGCTTCGCTCCCGTACTTCCCACAAATCACTAACAAGCTTAACAAACTTTTCAAAAACTTACCTGTCAAAATAGCCTTAAAAATACCAGAACCTTAGGAAAGTTATTTTCTAAGACAAAAACTCCATTGGCCCCTCTAGAACAAACTAATGTCGTCTATCATGTACCCTGTGCAGAGTGCAACTCCTGCTACATTGGCCAGACCAGCCGCTCTCTTCAAGGTCGACTAACGTCCCACAAAAGCGACATTAGGATTTCTAACCATCTTGTGCCCTTGCACAACATGCCATTTCAACAAAACACAGTATCGACTTCACGAATACTAAAATACTGTGCAAACAAAAAAATTATCATAAGCGATCCATCCTTGAAATGTGTCAAATTCTAAAACATCCATCGTCCCTAAATAAGAGAACCAATTCGATAGAATCAATTCGAACATGATTTATTGTCTAGAACAGTCTGGAACGATAAAAGGATATAAATACGAGGTAATTTGGAGCAGGCAGGCATTAAGTTAGAAGAATTCATTAAGTCAGTTAGTCAGTTAAGTCAGAGACAGTTGGAGAGTATGAGAGTAAATTAATTCAATGTAGATACTTCAATACAGTGATAGTTAATTATTAGTACAGTAATACAGTGACAGTATGGAGTTAATTCATTAAGAAGTTAAGCAGTCAATAGTACAAGCACATAGTATACAGTATATTTGAAAATATATTATATGGAGATTACAAGAATTTTAAATTATAATATCTATATGGTGAGTGGAGATTATTAAGAAGAAACATATTTAAAATTGTTGGGAGCCGATAATTAAAATATTTTGGTATATTTGGAAAAAAGCAATTTCACAAATACAAGGATAACCGAGGCTGATTAAGAAGATATTGAGTGGTGATCATAACTTTAATTTTGGGAAACTTTAGGCATTCAGCGATAGAAAGGTACCAAATTTTGTTAATGTAATTTAATAATTGTAAGAATTTCATCACCTTACATCACAAAGCAAGAAATTATCAAAGCGGCAAATCAGTTAAAGAACGGAAAAGCTGTTGGGGAAGATAATATCCCAATTGAAATAATAAAGATATTACTAGACGAACACATCGAAGTAATGGAAGATATATTTAACAAAATATACGAAACAGGCATAATACCAAATGATTGGCTGACATCGGTGTTTATACCACTACCAAAGAAGAGAAACTCCAAGAAATGTGAAGACCATAGGATTATTAGCCTGATGAATCATATGTTGAAGCTTTTCCTACGAGTAATACACAATAGAGTATACAATAAACTAGACGAACACACTGGTCAAACTCAGTTTGGTTTTAAGAATGGGTTCGGAACAAGAGAAGCACTTTTTTCAATACGTGTGCTAGTTGAAAGATGTAGAGATGTCGATTCTGATGTATACTTGTGTTTTATAGACTTTCAGAAGGCGTTTGACCTGGTGAAACATGATAAACTAATAGATATTTTAAGGTCATGTAATATCGACGATAAAGACTTAAGGATCATTTCAAACCTCTACCAAGAACAAAAGGCTAAAATCAGAATAAAAAGCGAAACATCTGGAAAAATCAATATCGAGAAGGGAGTAAGACAGGGATGTGTCCTATCACCTTTGCTGTTCAATGTTTACTCTGAGAAGATATTTCAGAAAGCTTTGGAAGGCACCTCGGATGGTATAATTATAAACGGGCAATGTATAAATAACCTGCGATATGCTGATGACACTGTCATACTGGCAGATAATGCTGAAGCCCTGCAACGCTTAATGGACCGAGTAACGACAGCCTGTAGAGAATTTGGAATGAAATTGAATACAAAGAAGACAAAAACGATGGTCATCAGCAAGCACCAAAACAGAAGGGTGAAGGTCAATGTCGACGGAACAGATCTGGAAAGAGTAACAAGAACAACGTACCTTGGAAGTAATCTTGATGAAACTTGGGACCACTCACTAGAGATAAGAATACGCCTGGAAAAGGCACGTACAATGTTTTACAAAATGCAAAAAGTTCTATGCAACCGCCAGCTGGGCATCTCATTGAGAACTAGAATACTTAAGTGCTATGTTTTCTCCACCTTGCTCTATGGTGTTGAAGCCTGGACAATGACAGAAGCAACACAAAAAAGAATCCAAGCATTCGAACTCTGGTGTTACCGTAAAATGCTCAGAATATCCTACATGAGCCATACGACAAATGCGGAAGTCTTGCGGAGGATGAATAAGGAAAGAGAGCTTATGCTTATAATAAAAGAACGGAAAACACAATATTTTGGTCACATCATAAGAAATCAAAAGTATGAACTGCTCCAACTTATAATCGAAGGCAAAGTCAATAGCAAAAGAGGACCAGGAAGAAGACGCAACTCTTGGCTTAAAAACCTACGGCAATGGACGAACATGACCTCCATAGAACTATTCAGGGCTGCTACAAATAAGATTAAATGGGCAAATGTAATGGCCAACGTCCTTAAGGATAAGGCACCGTAAGAAGAAGAAGAAGAATTTCATATTTTAGATAGGTTGTTTTAAATTTATATTGTTTATATTATATATATATATATATATATATATATATATATATATATATATATATATATATATATATATATATATATTATTCACAATTACGCATAGCTCATACACAAACAAAACATCATAACAATATATATATATATATATATATATATATATATATATATATATATATATATATATATACAAACAACACAGTTTATTAGGGTTGCAGTCGGAAATATTGGCCGGGATGTTAAAAAAACACTCTTTTGACTTTTTGTCGAGCTTTCGGAATGGTTTTATTCCTTTTTCAAGACATAGTCGTTGAGATTATTTTTGTAAGCATTGAACACTCAACATTTATATTAAAATATACAACACAAAATATACCACACACATTAAAATATACAATTATGGACATAATACATCATAAAATTTTTAAAAATATTTGTTGTAAAAATAGTAAAACTTGATTGATGGCATGTTTTACTGGTATATTATATATATATATATATATATATATATATATATATATATATAAACATCCGTACTGTAAGGACTACCCTGTATTGTTGCCATATCCCGTCAATAGGAGGCATGTATTTTATATTATAGGATACCCGTGATCCTACTCCATACAATATTAAAATATGTATGATGGTCGTCATGACCCAGAATCTAGATAGGCACATTGAGAAGAAGAATATGCAACTATTTAGACATAAGACTTAAATTGTTACAATTAGCTGGTATATAATTATGTTTGACTAACGCTTGTAAATTTTGTATTGTTTCTAGATTCGGAACCAATCAATAGTCCACTGCAGGCTCTGTCGAAAAATGTACCGGTTCCCGAATCGTTGATGAGTCCCGATTATCATCCGTCATCGTTAATGGGTACGAAGAACGCTCAAAATATATCTCTGCAACCCAATAACGTAGCCAGAGTTCATTCAGCTCAAACTACGCATACTTCTAAATCACCTAAATTTAATAGGGCTATTCCGAACAGAGCCAGAACAGACAATTTGAGAAAAGTTGGTTCTCCTTCTCCAGTAAGGCAAAGTAGGATGAACACAAAGACACCTACATCGAAGTAAGATGTTTTTTATTTCATAAAAAGATAACTGTTTTGTATTTTTATTCATATGTATAGTATAGTGAGGAGCACTACATGGTAGACTATAGATAAAGGGGTCGATTGACCTCGTAAACTTTTCCGTACTATGTCGTAAAAGTTATTTTGTGTATCCTCTATATTCTTTCCTGGTTTTCTGCTAGGCTTTAGCGACTGCTATTGACTTCTTGCTTCAAAGACTGCTCAAGTCTTTCTCTGTCCTCGTTGAGATTCATCGGGGGTTTTCTCATTACTTTTCAGTATATACTTTTCATTTTGAAAGTGTATATAGTTCCCTAGTCTCCGAATGACAGTGGCTGTGGTAGAGGCTGCATCTTCCTCTTGTTTCCTTTGTTTATTTCTGGTCTATTCTTGGATACTCGGAGTTAAGCAGTTCTTAACTTCGACTAGATCGTGCTCATCTCACAGAATTAGTCACAACTACCACGCATCGAGAGGTTCTTTTAACATGATAATTTCAACTAACTAATTTTACAGGGAAAAGTAGTAGGAAAACTAGACCCAGGAATGCGAAGGATTTCTTGGCTGAAAAATCTACGTACGTCGTTCAATACAACAACCACACATCTTTTCAGGGCAGCAGTCTGTAAAGTACAGATTGTCATTTTGGTCGCCAGAATCCGAAATGGATAGGCACTACAACAAGAAGAAATAACACTACTTTATTAAAACAAACAAAATATAAAGAACTTCTTCTACTTTTATACAGACATATTGCTCGTTTTTTTTTCAACCATCCTCTTATTCTATTGGAATATTGTCATTGCATTAGAATATTGAATATTAAAAGATTGGTGACTTATCTCAGTTACTATAACTATTTTGTTTTCGGCCATTGTGCTAATGTGACAATTTCATTTTTTCTTTCGAAATTGCACCCATTCATTTATGTTGTGGTTACGATGCATGTTATGATGTGGTTACTTCTTCATTTACCCATCAGTGTCTTTCCTGTCATTCTTCTCAATATTTTCAATTCACTTGTTTCTAGGTATTTTCTTGTTGTGCTTGTTTCTTGTCTCATTTGAGCAGTTGCACCTTCTTGGTTCTTTTGATATTACTAGACTTTTTGTTTTTTGTGTCCATAATTTCATATTGAACTGCTTAGCCTTCATGTTGAAATTATGTGGCGTTCTATATAACAGGGGTGGCCAACTTAATCGGACTCGAGATCTACTGTGTGCCTTTTTAATGCTTTGCGATTGACCGACTAGGAATTTTTTAACTATACTGGTTGCCTTTCTAATTCTTTGCGAAATACCGATTAAGATTTTTTTAACTATACTGGTGAGCAATAAAACGTTTAATCCAGAATTTTAACGTCAAAATTGAGCTGAATATCTCAGAGTCCCTCAATATATTTCAGAAAATCAATCACTGATTCTGAAGGACTCAGCTTTCGAGATCTAAAAGAATTTTGAATGTGAGTAAAACCGATTCGGCTTTGAACGCTACAATTCTGGATGGATTAGTTTTATTGCTCGCCAGTGTGTATTAGTAATACCTAAATTAAACAAAAGTAGTAATTCTTATTTATTTATTTTTCCAAGTAAGAATTGCGTTTGAACAGATTTTGCTAGGCTATTAAGGTCTGGCTTGAAGTTGAAAATGACCAACCTTAAAGAATGCTCAACGTATGAGCATCAGTCAAGCTGAAACACTGTTTACTCTTCGTTTGTTTTCAATATGAAAACGCTGAGTCACATAAATAGGTTGAACCAAAACATGACTGCAGTTGTCTGCACATTTTTTTAAATTTGGATATTTCTCATTGCACACCAATGGCCAGAAATCTAGATGTGAACCTGATCTCGATTTCAAAAATACATCGCAGCGCATAACAATTATTTCATTTTCAAGAAAAAGTTGTTCTATTTTTAATATCTCTGCAAATTGTTTGGATATTTCAAAGGTGTCATGAATAGTATCATTGAATGGATAATTGATAAATGCGACCAACTTTTCAATTTTATTGAAAGCTCTAAAACGGATTTCAAAGTCTAATATCACTGACTAAATTTCTGCTGTATACTTCTGTGGCTTGAAAACATAGGCAGGGTGTTTTTCCATGTGATATTTAATGTTCGTAAATCTTAGAAATCTTTTCGTTGCAATATCAACTATCAAAGATACTGTTTGAAGTTTGAATGATGCAATAGAACTACTCATTTCTGATAAGGAATGGAAGGGAAAGAAAGCGGCTACCCATTTCTAGTCACTATATAGTACATATACTGTAACATTTATAGTATCATCTACAGAGTGGACACTTCATAAGTCGCTCACGATGATCGATGCTAAATTGCTGGCACTCCAATAATTGTCGTAATATTTATTTTATTTTTCCGATATTTTTTATTATCCGTTTTATTACCTGATCCAATAAGAGGTTGAATGTTATTGGACTTAATGAGTATTCCTGTCTGTTTCTTACGAATATCTTTTCTATTAGTCTTATGATATCCACTGGTACTTGTCTATTATACAGTAGATGCATAGCGCCTGATAGTCACAATAAGTTAAGTGTCGTTTCTAAAACGACGAATCATACATCGGCGGAAGATTTTCCCAATCCTTGTTGTTCATCTGATATATAAGTATTTTAAGAGTTTCAGAATGGAGCTTAACAGGTTTATTACCTAATAATTACTGGGATCGGCTTTTTGCGTTTCTTAAATAGTATGATCATAATGCTGGTTCTCCATTTCTTAGGTATTCGTCTTAATCTTATGTCTTTATTTAATATAATTGTTAACTGTTACATTAGTTGTAAATCGTCATATTTTCTGAAATTGTTTGCTTATTAAATATAAAGATAAATATATTAAACTAAATTTGAATGGAGGCCAATAGTAGCTGCATGACTGACAGTGCAAGATTCGTTCTTTGTAGTCCCGGTGATAGTTCCCGAGATACTTTAAAACTTCCTCTCGTCGCCGAGTCTACGCCGAACGTCTACCTGCTAAAACAGACCCTCCTATGTCATCCATCGCTCCGGAAGCAGAATGGCCAGATCATTGGTAACTACTAAATTTTGATGTTAAGGAGAATTCACTTAAAAATAAAAATATGGGAATAATTATTAGCAAGTCAAAAGTTATAAAATAATTAGGTTATGAATACAAAAAGGAATGGATAAGTGAGGATGAAGAGAAGATGTGTGGTAACGTATGAGAAGTTAGATTGAATGTTTTAACCTTACAGTTTGCATATTAATCGAATCATAATAGCGAAGAACATTGAAATCAGTTCTGTATGTGGTTATTTGTTATTAACTGTTTATGTTTGCTAATACTATTGTGCAGATTTTTATTTTTTGAATGATTTTTAGTAAGACAGAGTCCAATAAGAAAGCATCAATCCTTGTGAACAGATCGGCCAGTAGTGACGAGGAATCAGAAATTTGCGATTCTAAGTTACAGACAATTCAAATGAAAGCAGAAGAACGGAGGTTGCAGAAGGAAGAAGTAAATAGTAATTGCAGTAGTGAAGATAAGGTGGAACAAGCTGCTGTGTGTATTCAGAGGATATGGAGAGGATATTACACTAGAAACAAAAATAAGGAAGTTCAAGAAATGTTTAAGGAATTGCAGAATCAGAGGGCTAATCAGTATATTCAGTAAGTTGTTTTTCGTATCAAGTATATTAAAAACTAGAAGGATCACAGGTGATTGACAACTGAGTTAAATTAATTTTAGAAAACTTGCTACTGATATGGAAACTACCAAAGCTGCGTTGGAAAGTGAACGTAAAATCCAAATGTTACAGACAGAAGCTATTAGTGCTTTGTGGAAGAAAATATCGAACTTGCAACCTACAGCAGATGGCGAGGGAACATCTAACGTAAATCTCAACATGACAAATTTATCATTAAATAATTCAGAGGTGGTGAAAGAATTAGCACAAACATGTACGATGTTACAATCGCAGGTAAGTTTAATTAACAGCTCTTAGTTATATATAATTAGAATAATCTAACAGTTTAATTATTTGTAACTGAATAATGTACACGATCACTCAGTGTAGATAAGAGAACGCATAGACAGAGTAAAGTCAGCTGTCATTTTTCTTCTTTAAGTGCCGTGTCCTCCAAAAACATTCGAGAATATTCGCATGACCTTTACTTTGTCTTCAATGGACCTACATAAATGGGGTCTGCTGACCCCATGCCGTTGGCGAAGCCCTTCGTCGTTCAGTAGCACGTTTCCCTTTTATTTTCTCCTAAACAATTACATGAAGTGGTTCATATTTCAGATTTCTCATCACGTGGATAAAGTACTCCAATTTTCTTCTTTTAATGATAACCTCTAATAAGTAATCTAGCCTCTCTCAGTCTTCGTAAGACTTCTTGTAGGTGATTTAAATGCTCTTGGAGTGTCTTCGATATTACCAGGATATCATCTAAGAATGCGAACTCTATATCGGGAGATATTACTTTATCCAGTAGTAGTAGTTTTAAATTGAAAGTGAACTTTTACGAGCACCTTAAATGATGTTACTGGGCGGCTTTTCTCTTCCAGAAGTATTTGGAAATAACCTTGTTTTAAATCGAGGATTGAAATAAAATTTGCCTCTTTTAGTCTATCCGAAGTTCCGATATTCTGGGTAACGGATATGCTTCCTTATCTGATAACTCGTTGATTTTTCGAAAGCCGATACAAGATCTGTACGAGTTGTCTTTTTTCTTACTAGTACAATTGGTGGTATTGCGGGTAGCGGGTAGGTACCCCTTTATTGTCCCGATAGAGGGTAGACTTACTTCAGGGAGGTAGCGTCCCTGCCCACGCGAGCTCCTGGTTTTTCCTCCACTCCCTATTTAGGTGAAACCAGGCCCAAACCCTAGTATTATCCTACCTAAACTCCAAATTCCTTACCTAATCCCCCCCCACTCGCTAACACGTCTGCCAGCGGGGTGAGTTATTTATAGGCTAAGGGAATAAACCCCGACAGAAAATTCTGGTCCTCCTAGCAAGGGGGTTTAGCAATGGGCCAGCAACTCATTCTTGGAAAAAATAGTAATGCTAAAAATACCGAAACCAAGCCTCGGGATATGGATGGAACTAAAGGACGACGACAATGGCAACGAAAACGGACACTGATTTGTGGTACATGGAATACACAAGGAATTAGAAATAAAATCGAAGATGTTATCCAAGAAATGAAAAAACATAAAATGGATTTTGCTGTACTCTCAGAAACAAAGAAAAAAGGACAAGGAACCCAAAATCTTGATGGATATATACATATACACACGGGAGTTAATAAGGAAGAACATGCCAAAAGAGGAGTATCAATACTTATATTGAAGAAATACAAAAAGAATATATCGAACTGGCAAGCAATAAATGAAAGAATCATAAAGATCAACCTCAACTTGAAAGGATTAAAAATAACAATAATAGGCACATACGGTCCGAATGATGATGCACGCCTAGAAGAAAAAATAAAATACTATGAAGTCCTAGATGAAACTATCTCTCAAATAGGTCAAACAAGGGAAACTATTATACTAGGTGACCTCAACGCAAGAACTGGTAGAAGAATAAAAGATAAAACAATAGGACCATATGGAGAAAACACTACAAACGATAATGGCAATAACTTAATAGAAATGTGTAGACACAACTCACTAAGGATCATGAATGGGTATTTCAAACATAAGGAAATACATACATATACATGGACTCAGCCTACAAGAAACTTAAGATCAGTAATTGATTACCTAATAATGAAACAAAAATCTAAAATAAAAGTGCATGACGTAAGAGTATTTCGAGGAGCCGAATGTGGAAGTGACCACCATCTAGTAAAAGCTAAAATGATACTACCGCTAAGCGGAAACGGTAAACACCAACAAAACAAAAATCTAAATGAAAATCACTCAGCAGAAGGTGAACAACTACAGTATAATCTAACAAGTTTAGACAACGATAGTACTAGAGAATTGTATAAAAAAAGATTGGAGCAACAACTACCACAGGAATTTAAACATAAAACAACAGAAGAGTTACATAGCATAATAAGAAAAGGAATACATCAAGCGGCCAAAGAAGCATTAGGAATAAGAGTAAACAAACTCAGAAAGACAAATAATTGGTGGAATGATGAACTACAGGAAATGAAAGATCAAAAGCAAAAATTATATCACAGATGGTTGGGAACAAAGGATCAAGAACACAAAAGAGAATATAGAGAAATGGTAAATAAATTTAAATCCACGATAATAGAGTCAAAAAATCAAAGCTGGGAGAGAAAATGTCAGGAATTAGATACGTATATTGGCGGCCGCAAATCAAGAGAATCCTGGAGATTTATAAAAAACATCAGATCCAACAGAACAGAACAAATAGCCATACACTCCATAGAGCCCGAAAAATGGGAACAACACTATAAAACACTGTTAGTAGAAGAAAGACCGGAATTCAAAAACATAGAACAACATGAAATCCTGATTCAAGGAGAGCCTCCAACAATTAACATCGAAGAAACTAAAAAAGCTATATCATTGTTGAAAAATGGACGTGCTCCGGGCCCAGAGGGGATATATGCAGAGTTAATAAAAAATGGAACCAACAAACTATTCGAGATACTAACAGAAGTTTTCAATAGGCACTTGCACGGAGAACCAGTGCCACAAAGTTGGAAAGAAGGATGGATTACATCTATCCATAAAAAAGGAAATAAGGAAGATTGCAATAACTATCGGGGTATAACTGTTACGAGTACGCTTAGCAGATTATATGGGAGAATTATAAAAGAACGCATATGCGAAGAATACCGTCCTTTTGAATCAGAAGAACAAAACGGATTCAGAGCGGGACGATCCACAATAGATAGTATTTTTTGCTTATCCCAAATACTCGAGAAAAGAACACTGAGATCTCGAGAAGTGCATTTACTTTTAGTCGATTTAACAAAAGCATATGACACCGTGCCTGTTGCGAAATTGTGGGAAGTATTGGAGAAAACCAGTATCAGCGTTTCACTAATCGACGCTATTAAAGATCTATATAACAACACAATATCAAAAGTTAAAATAGGAAATAAGGTTACTAATGGTTTTCAGGTAACAAAAGGACTGAAGCAAGGTTGTTGTTTATCTCCCATACTATTTAATATATATATCGACGAAGCACTCAGGCAATGGAAAAAGAAGTGTAAAGGGATGGGGCTGTCTATTGGGGATGAAACGTTATACACGCTGCATTATGCAGATGACCAGGTAGTTATTGCCCAAGACAAGGAAGACCTAGAGTATATGGCTAGAAAACTAATGGAAGAGTACAAAAAATGGGGCCTCGAAGTAAATTTACAAAAAACGCAATATCTTTGCATAGGAGGAGAAAATACTGCAGATGACCTCGACTTAGAAGACGGGAAAATTAAGAAATGCGATCAATGTATATATTTGGGGGTAAAACTAACAAAGACAGGAAGAACTGATGAAGCCATAAAAGACAGAATAACCAAAGGGAAACGAGTTATAGGTGCATTGAATTCAGTACTATGGCAGAAAAATATAAGACCGGAAACGAAAAAAAGAATATATAACACAATATTGAAACCAGTAATCGTGTATGGCTCAGAAGTATGGCAGTTATCACAAAAACTTAAAGGTAACCTCTTGGCAGTTGAAATGGATTTTTGGAGGAGAGCAGCGGGAAAGTCTCGATTAGAACATGTGAGAAATGAGGACATAAGAAATCAAATGAATGTACAAAGATCAATTATAGAAGACATCGAAAAACAACAACTGACATGGTACGGACATGTTAGACGTATGGGGGAAGAAAGACTACCAAAAAAAATATTAGAATGGGTACCACCAGAGAAAAGAAAACGAGGACGACCACCAACAACATGGATGCAAGGAATTTCAAAAGCCATGTCAGCAAGAAATCTATTTGAAGAAGACTGGCAGAATAGACAGGCTTGGCGAACGGGAACCCAAAGGCGGATTACGCTATAAACGGGATATATATATACAATTGGTGAACTCCAACCACTTGTGGATCCTTCTTTTAACATCTTGTCCACTTCTTGGTTGATGATTTGTAACATTACGGGGTTGTGCCTTCTATACGGCTGCTTGACGGGGTCGCATCTCTTTTTCAACTTTATTCTGTGTTATATTAAATTGATGGGTCCTGTTACTTTCTCGAATTTCCTTAGTCCTTTTTTTGGAATCTTTCTAACTCCGTACTTTGGGTAATGTCCTTGAAAGCGTTATAGATTTTTTCTCGAAGCTGTGTATGTTGTGTAGTCATATCTCGATCAAACATAGAATTTTTGCTAAGAAATTAGATTCCGAGTCTTCTGTTAATTCGGACATTATTATTAATGTTTCTCAGGTCTGTAAATGATCGATCTCGCAGTAGAAAACTAATTTGTTATTTAGATCCTTTGATGAATCATTCGCTAGTTTTAGAAAGTCCTTGTATGCCCATGCAATTTTGTCTCCGGTATAATTTTTAATAGTTTCTGTATCAATTAGCGCTTTTCATGTTTAATACCTGATTTTTAATTATGCAAAAAGTCGAAAGAGTCGTTGTTAGCTGGTTGTGTAAATGCGAGAAAGCTGGAATCTTGCTCCACAGACTAGGACGACTCCTTATTTCTCCAGTCTGTTATTCGTTCGCCTGATACAGCCGTCGCAGCTGTAAACTTCATCTTTGCCGCATCGTGAACATAATTTTTCCATGGGTTTTTGCAATTTTTACTAATATGATCTGGCATCTTGCATCTAAAGCACGTGCCTTTGGAATCGTATTTTCCTGGGGCTGTACATTCCTGGTGTCTTTGAAGATTTTGATTGGCTCGGATCTTTTCATCTTCTATGGCTTCATATTCCTGAGTTCTGTCTTGTAATTCAGTTAAATCTTCAAAGCTCTCAATATATCTCTCAATATAAATCTTATATTCGTTCCAGTTCGTGATCTTTGGAAAAAGATGCTTCGCGACTAATAAATGCTTGAATGTTTTGAACTGACTCATTTTGCTTTTACTTTATATTTCTGATCTGCTCCTCCAGTTGCAGCAAATAATCTCATCTCGGTATTGTTAGGTCTTGTAATTGTTTTATGATAATTGGCATTTCTTGGCTTAGTACATCGTGGTCAGATTCTTTGGAAGGCTTGACTTTTGGGATCATACCTTCCGGTTCTCCGTGATCTTTAAAAATGTCTGTTAGCCTTGATATCAGATATTCAGCGGTTCCTTTGGAATCTAAGCCGACCTTTTCGGCCTTGTGCTATAATTCCTCTTTGGGCAGGTGGTATATTCACGACGTATCTGTCGTGGCACCCGTTACTGAGTCTGTGTCTGTGGTTGCTGGACGAAGCGGCATTTTTATTTTTGATGACCCACTGTTTAATACCTGCAAAAAATAAAATATAATTAATGTTATAAAATTGAAACGACAAATACGGTGTGTTAGTAGCCACACGTTGAAGAAAAGGAAGGATGGATTATAGGTGAACGAATCGATCAACACTCGATCCGACAAGGAGAAGGTAGTGACTAATCAATACTTAGATACGAAACCTTTTCATCTTTAATGCTTGCTATGGCGTTATCAAGTCTTTCCTTGGTGATATCCACGCCGTCTCATACAGTATTATTTTGTGAGGTAACCCTGTTACCTACAAAAAAATTATTGTATTACGATGCGACAAGAAAATAGTTTTAAAACAAGATTTTCCTGGTGTTTTTATATAATCTACAAAGATCCATGAATTTTAAGATGTCGGTTATCCAATCTTTATGTGTATAGTCTTATCTCTTTTTAACTATATTCCATAACGGACTTATTGAGCTGTCTCCATGTATCTTCAATTTTTTTTTTAACTATTGTTTTCTTAATGCTTGTTAAATATTGTACTGTAAATTGTATTGTATTGTATTGTAAATTTAATTCTACTTGTACTTCTCTTTTATTGATGGATCAGGGATCGTTCTTGTACCTATATATTGTATTTTTTGAGATATTGCGCACTTTTTCAGTTTAGCTGTCCTGCTGATTAAGAGTTACTCGAAAATATATTAAAGTTGTAGGCTTTCGCGTTCGGTATTTTCTAAGTTTTCTGAATTTATAGGCCGTAGTCTAGAATTATTGGAATCATAGCTTTCTTACCTTGGGCTATGGATGGATTGCATTAATCGGTGCAATGGATCGAGCAGAGATTTGAAAAAATAAAAACAAAAAAAAACGTAATGTAACCACAGATCACTCAACCACACACTACGTGGAATAGTAAACGCAGTCCCATGCGTGTTTCTTAAAATAAACCAAAATAAAATAAAATAAATCTAATTGTATCGAATCGAATTAAATTGAAATATATATGTTAAAAACTATCGCTCTGCGCGTAGACGATAATAAAGCTATGCTTCCCCTCCTTGGTTAGTTCCTGAGTGCCACATTCCGTTTTTTATTACTGTTTGTGCTTTTGGTCATGTCTACAAACACGAACACAATATCATATTTCAAACAGCAGGGAGGATAAAAAATACTGAAATGTTTTTTATAAGTATAAGTGTAACAGTACTCCTAAATTAAGTTTAAATTACCAGAATGATCACCTATGTCTGATACTAATATAACATTAAGTTTGGTTTTTTACATGTGTTATTTAATTTTGTAGATTCAACAGTTACAGACATCAATGCAAGATATCGTAAAAGTTATGACAGCTTTTAGTCAGACTGCAGGTATAAATCAACAGCTAAAAGATGGTATTGCTACTCAAACGGAAATCATTGCTGTTCATACACCACAGGTATTAAAATAATTTAATTTAAGCTTTAGGTGGATGTTACCAGATCCAATAATTACTAAACAAATCCTAAGATATATTGTAATTATTTTGACCACTATTATTTTATAATGTTCAAGGTTTATGTTTGTAGATCGCTATAGTAGATGGAGTAAGTGGTATGGTATTTTATATTTAATTTTGAATGCGGTAGAAAATGTTTCATGGATTCAAATAAATTTTGTCGAGAAATTATGACGTCACTTCAAAATGCGCGTAACGCTAATTATGAATGTTCTTGGGAAAAACACTTTTTTAAAAACTGAACTTCACAATTAAAACTTTCATTTTCGACTTACAAAGATTTTAGTAGCAACAACAATAAATTAAATCAGACTGAAAATATTGATTTTTACATGGTGTTTTTATAATTTTATAATTGCTGATCTTGCAGTCCAATACGTCGCAATTCAGTCCAGAATGATCGAGCGGTAGTCCCGTGTGGAATCCACGTGGTCGAATTTACTAGATGGTAGCGGTCATTGTACTGTATAATCCGACAAGCGAGAGCTGGCGGGTGAGCTACGCGAAAATAGAAAAGGAATTATTCTAAGAGAGATAGGAGAGGTACTTAATCGCGATTATAGGTATATATTATAGGTACTTAAACGGTTATACACGATGTGAACTCCTAGCCGACTGCAATAGAAATGAGCAATCCCTTCCACTTTTCAATTTGTTCTACGCACAACCCGCCAGCTCTCGCTTGTCGGGTTATAACTGGCTTGAGTCGCCAGAAACTAAATATAAATGTGTAATAACATAAAATATCGAATCTAGTTAATGTTATGTAAAATTATATTTACTAGAACGATTTTTATAATACATACTGGCAAGTTTAACGGAACAGTGTTAAATTTTATTAAATGAAAGGATTATCTTTTCTTTACTGATTGTATATACTCGGTCAAATCTGTCATGAAGTTGTTACTATTATTGTTTCATTTGTCTATTTTAGAGAGAACTTCTTTCATCAACCATTCTCTCTCCTGCTGTAACCCAATATGTAGCTTCTTCAAATTTATAATTATTTTTAAACTGTTTTTCCTTTGTCTTGTGTTGTGTAAATGTATCTGTTAATGTTTATAACATTCTCCATATATTGTTGGATAGCCTAATTTTGACGAAATGCCCTTGAAGTTGCTCTAGGAGCAAAAGTACTTGGGCAAGATTTAATAAAAAATGTGCTCGATATCTGCCTTTTATTTGATTACAAGTTCATTTATTCGAGCATTCAACCTTATATTACTTTCTTTTAAAAGAGGTTCGATTATATTGTGCGGAGGTATATGTTTAGGAGCACGCATGTGTTTGTGATCATTGATTTAAATGTAGCTCGGTACATTACTAACATTTTGCAAGACCATGTGCTACCTTTCGGCTCACACATTGGAGAAAATTGCCTCTTCGTTTAAGACAATGCTCACCAGCACATGGCTCATTCTGTTCTGTAACTTATTTTTGAAACCAAGTGAATTAAATCCGACTGAAAATATCTGGAACATGCTAGGGAGAATACTAAGGTCATGAATTCCGGCTATTCAAAGCACTGACGAAGTGATAACTGCTCTAATTTGAAATACAGCAGACGGGAGAATCTGTTTCAAGAGTTTCAAGCAATTATCGACAGCAGAATTATATTATAACCTTTTCATGGCATTTTAATGTTATTTACTATCTTTAACGGAAATTAACCAGAATTTCAGTTAAAAATAGGTTTATTTTGGCGTTTCCATTTCCACTTTGGAGATCGTTCTTGAAATACAAATTATTTTGTTTTGTTTCTTGGTCTCCCTCTCTCTTCAATCCTGATCCCTCCATGTCTGCTTATTTTTTTTAACTCATGTATAGGTCTTTTGCATATTCCTATAATTTGGTCGATCCATCTTGTTGGGGATCTTCCTCGTAATCTTCGGCCTTCTACCTTTCCTTGGATAATAAGTCTTTCCATGTTTTCTGTGTTTGCTCTCATAACATGTATAAAGTGTTTTAATTGTTGGAGATGGACTTCGCTCTCGAGCCGTTTGATACCTTTCTTCTTCTTCTTCACGTGCCATCTCCTCTAAGAAGGTCGGCAACCATCATGACAATTCACACTTTCGACGCCGCTGCTCTAAAGAGGTCAGCAGAAGTGCAGTTGCTACATTTATTTCCTTTAAAATTGAATTATTTTTCCGGTGGTTGTCCACAGAATTTGTAACATTCTTTTCCAATAGAAAATTTCAGTGGTGTCTCTCTTTCTTCTTTCCGTTTATCGTAGGATCCATATGTTAGTTAGGGAATATTAAGTAGTTAATCAATCTCATTTTTATAGTTAGTGAAATTTGAGTCTTTCCATATTTTGATCATTTTTCCTACGGCAACTTTTGCTAGATCACATCTACGTTTTATTGCTTCCTGTAGAGAGCTTGAGTTTGTGATCAATGATCCCAGATATATTTATCTACTATTATGATTTCTGTCTTTGATATGTTTAACTACAGAGTTTTGTTTTCAACCAGTCATGTGATATTAACTCTTCTTGACTATTTGTAAAAAGGACTGTGTATCTACCAAACGTAGATTGTTTAGTTTTCGGCCATTTCAGCCATCCCTCAAGCGGTTTTCTCATAATATGCTCTGCATATTAAATAATTATGGAGACGGTATAAATTCTTGTCTGACACCTTATTCTAGATGGTATTCGTTTAAAAGTGTGTCAAGTACGTAACTGTTCCAGTAGTGTATTCGTATAGTTCAGTTATACCTAATCGAAATTAAGTGTTGTGGCAAGCTTATTTCTTTTGTAGCACCTGTCGTAAGTTTTGGAATTTAACTGAGTTGAATAGAATATATATAGTCCTATATTGAATTCCCTAGATTGATTCTATTATTTGTTTTACGTTCAAAAGGTGTTCTCGAGTACCTCTAGCTTTTGTAAATCCAGTCTGCTCTTGGTGTATTTCCCTTTGTAGGAAAGTTTTCAGTATCTCAGTGAGTATGTAACATTATCTGACTGTCATATAAGGGAGATGGTTGTATAATTGTCGCATTTATGGAAGCTGCCTTCTTTATGTATTGTTGTTATTGTAGATTTTATTCAGTCGTCAGGCCATTGCTTGGCATGGAATTGAAGGCAAGTGGAGAAATTATATTTCGGTTTCTTCTGTGGCTTTGGGCATTTTACTGTTATATCTGAACCTAATGCTTTGTTATACTTGAATTTACTGATCGCCAGTCTTATTTCATTCTCGAGTTTTTTTACATCTTCTTCGGTTTCTTCAGAGACTTGGAGAACAAGTTTCTGGCTTTGATCATCTTTATACAGTATAGGTCAACTGTTTAAACAACTGTTTAAAAAGAGAGAGGTATATTAGGTCCGCCCTTTATATCGCCGAATATACATGAGTGAATATAATAAAAAAGGGGAAGTTCAACGTTGCCAAACTTATTGGTTTTATTTGACCTGTTGTCTTTTTAGCATTTGAACAATGCTCCAAGATAATCAAATTTGGGCGAAATGGATTTAAATGGCAGCTTACTGTTTTTTATTGGGAATATGCCACAATTTTACTTTACAATAAGTGTAATATAACATTTTGATTTATACTTCGGAAATCGTTTTATATAAATAAAATTTATTAATGTTTCGTATTTTAAGTACGATTTCCGAATTAAAAATCTAAACATCAAAATAAGCTTATTTTAAAGTCACATTGTGCCTTATTTCCAATAAAAATATTAAACTGCATATAAATAAAAAAGCTTCATACAAAACTATTTGGCAACGTATCGTGTCGCGTGGTCAAAGCACCGAATCAAAGCAATTACACAGGTACGAATAGAGGTGGGTCGTTGACGTCGCAAAACCGATTTTCGTAAACAAGTAACTATGATTTTTTAACAGTAGTTTCAAGTAAGAGAGTACCTACATAAACAAACATAATGGCTATTATCGTTTATGTGTATATTTATTGAAGTGAAAGAAACTAATGAAGGATATATTTATTATAACTTGAAAACTAAACTAAACAATACAAATAGTAAATCGTACTTACGTTTACATTACACGTTATTATTAAATCACGAATCGTCTAAATTGACATTTAAAAACATAAGTTTTTTTACTTTACTTCTTGTTAACCGTGTTCTTCTTTTATTTAAAATTAAACCAGATTTTGAACATGTGTTCACATTTACAATACTTTATGAATATAGTGGTTAAGTTAGGATATACATGGCGATGGTTTTTTTACCATTGTAATGGACTCTCGATACAGGTGTACGTTTAGATGAGTCATGTCCAATTAATTGATCAAAAATACACCATGGACTTAAGTCATCTTTATCGGTTTCTTTTTCTTGTACTGGTTGATTTTCAATAGTACAATCTTCTTGTTCTTTATCATCCTATTCCATCATATCTCCATTCGATCCAGAAAATCCCTGCACTTTAAATCGTGAATCCATAAATGTACATAATCACAATGTGCCACTCTATTCTATCCCTCTAAATCTTTTTGCTAAACCCGATAAATTGTACTACGTCGGATACTATGGATGTAAGGTTACCGTTTGATAAAATTGTATTGCAACATTCTTGCAGGCAGCGTACCATAACAATCACTGAACTACCCTTCAAGTATTTTTGGCTACTCATTGTACTTGTTATTTCTTTAAAAGGCCGTAAAATTTGGGACAGTTAAGAACAAATAATCCAGTCTTCATTATTTAGATTTGGTCTAAGTCTGTATTAACTAATACCAATGTGGAACAGATTGTCTCTTCTAACTCGGTCATTCTTTTTAACATGTAATAGGTGAAGTTCTACCTAGTTTCCACGTCTTGGATTGGCCGTTTTGGAACTTTGTTATGTTGTAATTGATACTTTAAAAGCCTTTCTGAAGATAAGGTACTTTTTTGAAATGTGTTTTTTGCTGAATTGTCGAAAAAAAGACTTTTTTTATCTATTTGTACACGACAGC